ATGTCAAAACAGACATATTCTTGGGTTTCTTGGGATTTGGGTATTGTATTTAATAAAAATGCAGGGGTTTAAGTCTGTATAGCTTTAAGTACCTACGTAGTTTGGAATATTTTTGAAAATATTGTTGAATCTGTTATTGAAAAAATGGAAGTGAAATAGATGTTAAGTGGAAATGTCAGTTATTGTACAACATTCAAAATAACTTTTGGAAACGCTTTTTTCTCTTTTAGAAAAAATAAGTGATATATTTTGCTTCGACTTTAAGTCTACATGACCAAATTGTGACAAAATAACATTGTTTTGTGATTGAGTAACCAACTATCATCTGGATGACTATTTACAATTTCCACCATATTTATGGGCAGAAATTAAAGATGTGTGTGAGTCTTTTCAATCGCATTCGAATAAATAATTTTATTATTCGCACCCAAATATTTATATATGCTTAGAAACGCTATTAAATTTTTAAACATGTAAAACTTACAAAAAAAAATTAAATAATTATATAAAAAAATTAATGAACACATATTTTCCAGTTGTTTATTTTACTACTAAATCATTATGTTTGAAGAACTTAACACCTTTTAATCTAGCCCCCTTGTCAGATAATGTCGATTTTGACCGGTGTGAGGAACTTGGTACTGGCCCTAGAGTTATACAAACTTGAAACCTCTGCATTTTTTAAATCCAACAAGTAAATCCCCAGAAATTAACAAAATACTAATTAATAGGTGTAAGAAACCATACTAAGATAAAATTATTGTAAAAATCAAGAAAAAACCGTCGGTTATATGGGCTGTTATTGAATCCATAGAATAGAACAAAGTCATGACGTCTTCATAAGGACAAAGCTGCACTGCACTTCTGCCAAGAGGTTTTTTACTAAGCACTTATATAGATCACTGTATCAGAACATTCCTAGCCACACCTCGTATATTAAAAGAAACAGGCAACCTATATTTATTATTGTTTTTATTAAATTAATATCTAATAATAACAAGTGATGCACAAAAAATGTTTCTATCTAGAATTCTTTTTTTTAATTGTCTGGATTTAATTCAGAGCCGCATGTAGTTATTACGGACATGATTCGTATTTTTGTCGGTCACATCCTACGTTAGAAACATTTTTTTGTGGATCACTCTTTACACAAGTAACATTGAACATTATTAGGCAAGTTTATTAGGCTGGTTTAGCTAATTTTAAATTACAAAATACATTTTAAGGTAAATTAGCTAAAAAGACAAGATATACTTGTGAGAGACATATTTAGTTAGACATTTAGAAATGTCAAATATCTTTCAATTGTCTTCATAAATCACAGCTAAATTGACGAGCTAACAATGAAGAACAATGATCTAAATGTGGTAACATTCAAGAATTATTTATTTATTTGTTTTGAAATAAATTAAAAAAAAAACTAGGTAGTGTAAATAAGTGGGCTAAATTCAATGAAACAGGGCTCGTATATGAATATAAAAATAATACTGAACTTAAAATAAAACTGTAATCAAGTTACTTACTTGTTTAATTCTATATGAGTCTTCTAAGTTGCAAAATATGAAAGCAATTGAGCTAGTAGCTCTCTTATGTTCTACAGTTTGAGTTATGATGAGGATACATAATAATGCAGAAACCTATCAACCCACAAATTTCATGAAAACTTGTTAATGTCAACATGCACGTATTAACACTCATTTTGTGATTTGCAGAAACCTTCCAACATAAAACAGTACTTGTACACTGTACATTCTAATATCTACCAACCCAAATTTTGCAAAATACCTTCAGCCCACTTGATTACTTTTGTAAACCAATGTCAAATTGCATAGACCGTCCAAGTGGGTTGGTAGAATTCTGCAGAAAATAAATTGTAAAAGGATTCTTTATTTTTTCATTAAAATTAAACAATATCGTCAATGTCACAATCAAGATTATCTATGTTAAAACCATTTACATCCTCTTCAACTCTAGAATTGCCTTTTAAACGTTTATAGAAATCATTGCAATCAGCTGCTATTCATCATGTCCTCTAATCCTCTAGTTTTGTTTTTTGTAACTTTCTTAATGTGTTTTAATAGAGGTGAGCCTACTTCTTGGGCACCTTTTCCAAAATGTCCCTTAGTGTCTTTTCTATATCAAATGTTATGTATTCAATGTATTCAATGTATTCAATGTATTCAATGTATTCAATGTATTCAATGTATTCAATGTATTCAATGTATTCAATGTATTCAATGTATTCAATGTATTCAATGTATTCAATGTATTCAATGTATTCAATGTATTCAATGTATTCAATGTATTCAATGTATTCAATGTATTCAATGTATTCAATTTATTCAATGTATTCAATGTATTCAATGTATTCAATGTATTCAATGTATTCAATGTATTTATCCACGACATATACCTTCTTACTGAACGATTCCCATTTTCGTTAGAAAATACGTTAAAATATAAACAAAGATTACATGATTTAAAAAAAGTATAGTTATTTAAAAAGCTTTCGTTACAGATAATATAATAAATTGGTTACATTTCAACAAACATTTTGTGTAGGGGAATAAAAGGCCAAATAATCATTCACTGTTGGGTTCTAATTAACAGTGCTATTCCTAAAGTGGCGCTGGGAATTAGTAACAAATCCTACACAGAACACGAGGCGAAATAACCTTAGGAGTTGAAGCTGATAACACACAAAAAAATTGTTACACTTCAATTGTAATAATGGCCATTTAACTTTTATAATTAAAAGAGCGGCATATATAGGTCACTACGACCGACAGTCGAGCTGAAGTCACTTAGCCATCAAATCAAATCCAGTTAATATGCCTCCATTTTTCCTTTAATGTCTAGAAATAAATATATTGGCAATTGATAGAAACTAACAACAAATTGCAGACCTTTTACTATATTAATACTGACTGTTGAATATGCCAGGCATATGACCAGACAGACGATTCGATGGTGCTTCTTTGATTAGTAGCATTGTTTGAACTATACATTTTATACTAGAACGATTTTACCGATTATTTCCCAACGAAAGGCCAACTTATTAGCTTATGATGGCCCGACTACAAAATAACAGTTAAAAACCTTTTTAACTTTTACCATGCTTTTACCCAATAGAGTTACTAATCCTTCATGAGGCCATCAACCAACATGAGGGCCCACTATCGAAAGGCCAAAAATAAGCTGCTATCTTTTAATCGTCGCCTTCATTTTCCCTTCAATTACAGCAAAAGGCCAGCAATGTCCCGGCAATTCATTGTTTGATGGGATATTCGAAGCATTCATGTAGACAAGAGTGACATTTTCCAGGCGGTTTAAACAAAGTCATTGCACGGAAATTGAGAAAAAAATAATATTAAAAATACCAGACAAAGATCGAAAGACGAGATATTTCTAGATGTATTACTACTTTTACTATGGCCAGGTGGAAAAACTGGAGCAGAAAAGAAAATTAAATATTTTGAGGACATGATGAATCTTAAACAAGCTGATTGCCATGATTTCTGATTTCTACAAACGTTTAAAAGGCAATCCTAGAATTGAAGAGGAAGTTGATGGTTTTAATAGAGAATACTGATTTTGATATTGACGATATTTTAATTTTAATGAGAAAATAAAAACTTTTGTTCTCGAAGGTCTATTGTTACTGAATTTTCTTACAATTTATTTTTCGCAAGAATGTAAACTTTTATTCATTTTTCAAAAAATAAAAATGATTTTATTGTATTTTTAATAGTGTACGCCCCATTTAATTTAAAAATTTTGTTTTATATTTTCTATGTATTCAAATATATAGTTGATGTTAGTTTAAGTGGAAGTTAAAATCCAGAAATTTTCCTGCAATCATTTTTGGAGATTAGTTAGATCTCTACATAGCTGCGTCCAATTGAATATGATCAAACAACAATGCTCCATCCGATTTAACTCTTTTCAATTTTTTTCTGACACTCTTAGTTTCTTTTCTTGAGATAATTCATCTTTTTGCTGATAAGTTTTCTGATCATATTTTTTGTATTGATGAGCTATGTGGATTTAGACTTAGATAACTCATATAAAAACAGTAATATAATATCAAATTATTTTTAATTAATAGAAAACAAATAATTCCTTATTAGTAAATTGTATATCAACATTAGCAATAAGATAAGCTTTTTAATACTTCAGAATTAAAAATCAGTTCGAGTATCATAATTTTTAACTGCAGATAATTTTGAGTTATATAGGAATTTTACATTTGATGTAAAAAAAGACCTGCTGTCATGGTATTTTGTGAGCAAGGATATCTTAATTTGTGGAAAAATAGTGTACACTTACATTTAGATAGAAAGAGACGAGGAAATAGACGCAAAATTTGATAACTTTTACACAATCATTCTAATAAAAATACACATATATCAGTTTTCAGAATTTACAACATAAAATAGAAACATGTAGATGGAAATTGAAGCTGTTTAGTCAAGAAGTTGCTGCAATAGGACAGTCCAACTGATATACTAGAAAATGTCCTTAAAGAATATACAACTTTAACACTTGTACATTTGTACAGTGCTTTTTATTTAAGTAAATCAATAGTATTGTTTTACTTCATTTGGAAAAGAATATTTATATTTATGAGTTGCAAAAACAGTTTTCTCAAGTTTACTTATCCAAAAACTACATCGAGGAAAATTTACATGCCAAATAAAAATTGAAATTGAAATAATACTATTGACTAATCCAGTCGAAACGATCTCTTCTTGTAATATCTACTTAAAATTTTTTTTCACAACTTTCGTTGTAATTATTATTTACCAAACAGAATATATGCAAAACCAAACATGGTTAAATGATATGCAGATAGAACAAAAAGAGACCCAGGATTCTGTATATTTTGCTTTTGCATCAATTTTACCTCAGGAGAATTTATTGAAAATCCAAATTTAAATAGTAAAATATCAGTCTCATAGTTTAAAATCTTCAGTTCTACAAAGATTTTTTTAAAAGTGTTAGATTTCATTGTCATGACAGAAACTAATTTTACTTATATCGTTATTTGACAACAAGTCTAGGGGTTTTCCGTGGATTAAAATCTTCTGAACGCATCCATCGAAGCCTTTATAGTATGAGCTTGGCAAACCGATGGGCAGGGCAGAAGATCCTCCTGAAATTTTGAGTAGATTGTTAATAAAATATATAACGCACTAGTTTTTAATTTTTTTAAACTCACCTATCCAAAGTTTGGCATTAGTTCTCAAAGCAATGGCTCCAGTCTTAGCAACACCTTTGGTAGGAACCTGACCATCTACTGAAATGAAGCCAACACGCTTTCTTCGTCGTACTTGAATTAAGTGCCACTGACCATCATCAACTTTGGTTCGAGACCTAAAGAATAATTAAAAAGTTTTTCAAATGACCCACAAAAAATACATAAAGTATTTCTGCACATGTATCTATTTTAAAATTGTTGATACAGTGCTATTTTATTTCAAATACTATACACATTAAACAAGAAAGGAGCGTTAAAGTGTTGATGATTTACTGGAAATCAAACTGGACGTTATAAATATTTACCTAATTGCCCAAAAGGGTTCTTGACGTCCCAAGTTGAAGCTGAATTCTGGATATCCATCAACTATGGCAATTGACAGGTAATTTTGTAGCTGGCTTCTGTTTTTGCTTCGCCATAAAACGAGTCCATTTGACACGAACGTGCGCAGTTTTATTTCATATCTGTTTCCCCGTTCGGGCTTTCTTCTAAAAGAGGGTAAAAAATAATAAAATGATTTTGTGCAAATGGTCTACAATTTTTTATAGATTAATTAAGTATTGAAAACCATAAGATACCATTATTTTTGCTACAAGCATGCAAGAGGTTATGGATTATTTATGGGATTTATGGCATTTTCTAAGACAATTTTAGCGGGTGTGATAGTTTTGTTCTATTCTCAGTAGTAAGTAGAGAAGTAGAGCTATTTATGTGTTTAGTAAGAGCTCAGAGTAATCGAATGCATTATAACATGACATAACACTCAGTCTTAATGGTATCAATAATATTGACTTATTTTAATATTAACAAAATAATGAATGTAAATGACAACAATGAGTTCTAAATTATTACTTACAGAATATCTAAATCTTCTGAATCATAATCTAAATTAAGTTCATCGAAAAAATCGTTGTCTATCTCGCCATCATCATCCTCTAGAGTTTTGTTACTAATATCTTCATCGTTGTCAGTATAATTAGTTAGGTTCTCACTGTTAGTAATCATAGGGTTAGTAATATTAGTAAGAATAGGTTATAATATTGTTAGTAAGAGATTAAGATAACCTATAATAAAAATAAATGTACCTTCTATATCCTCTGTTTCGATATTGTAAGAATGTTGCGCCACTCAATTTGATTGCTACGTTTTCTTCGTCAACTAAAATATTAAAACAACCTTTTATAAAAATGTTACAACTCAAAATTAACGAATTACTGTCAGTAAAACTATTCAAATTAAATATTTTAAAAACATTTGACATTTATTCTATCTTTGTTGGATTAATTGTTGAATCTTGCTCGAAGGATCATAAGTGAATATATTTACTCTTCAAGGAACCAAATATATTTTTCTGTTCAGGAATATCAACTGTATTAAAATGAGTAATTTAACGCAGCATTACCAATGTAACAACCAGGGTAACAACTGATAGGTCTTTAGCTACTGCTGATAATATACTATTAAGGGATTAAGGCATCACTGTCACCAGCCAAAGGATCTTGGAGTCCTGAAGGAACATCCATTTACCAGTGGCAAATAAAAATAATAACAAAATAAAATTAAAAAAGAACCAAATTATCCTTTAATAGCATAGTCGAGCGGCTTTGGCAACTAGTTATAGACTCATTCTAGTCCTTTAGGCGATAGAAACGCCGAGGCTTCACAAATGCTCGCAAATGTTACTGGTAAAATTATTTTCTGTGGAAAATAAAATGGGCAAAGTTTTGAGATCCGGGAAGTCAACCTTATCGCCGGGTTGGTGATACATTTTTACAGTACATCTGATGACATAACGTAAGACGTTAATCGCATACTCATTTTCTTACCTATTTCACAATATTTTCCTATATAATTCCCGGTACACCTGCAGGTAAAGTTGTCCAAGTTCGGTACACATTCGCCATTGTTGAGACAAGGATTGTTATCCAAAGCACAAGGTGCTCCGATATAGTAACCAATATTAGAACTACATCCAGAAATGTTGTGGGTCACAACAGCAATGCAATCTGGTAGTGGATTAGTAATTGGCAATGGAGCACCATTGAAAGTGATTTTTTGAATAGCGCCTTTTAATCCTTTTGAAGCACCCGAGAGTCGATGAATTTGTTTCCAATTTCTGGTAAATAAAAACACACAATTCCAAAAAAAAATTTAATCAATGAGAAAATATTGGTTACTTACGAAACAGATCCAATATAGAGGGGAGTCTTCAAATTGAGTTCTGTAAGGGGGGTTCCCGAGTAGCCGCGAATAACAGTTCCATTATCTAGTTGTAAACTGCCTTCCCTACCTTCTCGTGATATTCGTACATTGTGCCATTTATTTAAAGTAATTGGAGTTGAACTGAAAAATAAATAAAAATAAATAATACTACTTTAAATAAGTTTGTATGTAAAAAAAAGTTAAATAATTTTAACTTCTTACGTCAAGTTAGCGATTCCACTTCCTAAGTTGAACCTAAACTGTACATAACCTCGAGCTATGTTCAATGAAATGAAATCACCTCTTCCATTTTTCATCTGGCCATTGTATAAAATCAGACCGTTTGCAGCATTTGACATAAAGTTAACTTCGATCGAAAATCTTTTCTTGATACCCTCAAGTTGCGGAAACTGGATGAAGCTATTCCCATTGAATTCCGGAGTTAATACTTGCTGAATCTTCGGGCCTGTTAAACAATAATTCCAACAGATAATTCCTTTACAGTAACTACTTAATAATAAACTAAATAACAAACAATAAGATCATACCTTTGTGACATTGAGCTGAATGACATTCTGGTCCAAATTCACATTCATTCCCTATACAAGTTGTTTGTGCTTTATCACAGAAATCTCCAGTGAACTGATCTGGACATTCACAGCGATATAAATCAGATTCAACCTTCATACATGTTCCTCCATTTTTGCAAGGGAAACTTTTGCAAGCGTGCTCACTGCAGTCATATACTCCTTTAATTTCTATAATCCAGTCTTCTTGCTTTATATGCAATTTTACGTCTTGCCTACCGATTTTAAATTTCGTTATGCAGCCTTGGAAACCTTTGTTTGTACCAATGTTCTCATAAACCCTATAAAATTAATGCATTTTAGTGTTATGTAATGTTTTATTATTCATATTCTCTTCTTATGCCTTAAAATAATATACATACCTGGTAAAATTGGAGGGAACATATCCAATATATGTATCTTCCAACAAATCTAAAGCCTTTAAATTCCCACCAGACTGTCCTCCAACTTCTTCAGCATCATCCAATTTTAAAACTCCATCTCTATGGTACCTCTTGATCACCACTTTATGATTGAAACCGATTTTCACTTTATCTACAGAACGAATTAATACTGCACCATTTCCTAAGTTGTACTTAAACTCAATAAAACCATTGATAATAGCCAATGAAACAAAGTCGCCTAGCCCATCAGCTTTTTGCTGGTTGTAAAGAATCACACCATTGTCTGTATAAGACTTAAACTCGACTTCTAAGCTAAGTTTATGGTAGGCCTTGAGAGCGCGAAGCCTTGCAAACGATTGTCCATGGAAAGCTGGAATGTTGTATTGAGCTTGTGTAATTTCTGTCTCACACAGTAGTCCTGTGTAGTTTGCAGTGCATACGCATGCATACGTTGAGGCTGGTAGATCGATACAGGTACCCCCGTGAATGCAGGGCGCGCTGCTGCAGGCTGGAAACTCATCTGGGTCATCTGAACCGGCTGAAAGTGTACAGCTTTAGTACTCATATTACACTAAGATTTATTTTTGTACATTAACTTCCACGAAACCTGTTTAAATATTACCAGCAATGTTTTGGGGATTCTACGTATAAAAGACTGTTCGAAAATGAAAGCGATAATGAAAAGTAAAGACCATTGAAGAGTCTACATTAGAAGATATATCACCATCTAAAAATGGAAGCATTTCGACTGTCTGTCCAGGCCTTTCTGTAAGGATGGTGTGTCCTCTCTGTCAAGTAAATATTGAAAAAGAAAGCAAAAAGCAGAAAGGAATGAAAGAAATTCGTAGAAGACCCAAAAGTAAAAGTTAGGAAGCACATTTTAATTTCCCTACTGTCTATATGTAGTACAGTTGGAGACGCAGCACTTAAGCCAAAATAGATTTAATGGTACCTACTTATTGGACTGAAAACCACGAAGGAGGAGAAACAGATCATTAACTGCAAGTTGGTAGATGTGGGAAGCAAGTTTTTCAATGATATTTTAGTGAATTAAAGTTGTGAACGCAGTAATTAAAGTTAGGTATTATTTTAAGTCATACACCATCATGAGGCTGGAGAGAAGGCTGTTTAAAGTAAAAGTGTGTAAAACTAACTTTTATTGTAATCTATGATCAAGTATATATACTTACGTAAACAATCCTGGCGTTCTGATGATTCGACATAGCTAGGAAGGCATATGCAAGCTCCTTTAACACAGTGACTGTTCGAAATGACGCAATCGGAATTATCTGAACACAAATCGCCTAATAAGGCCGTTATAACTCGAACTGTGGCTGGGGTTGGACGGTAAGCAGGAGCAAAGTCGCCACCTAAACAGGTGCCACCAAGAACAACACTAACTTTAGTGTTTTAGTTTAGTTTCAGATTAAAATTAAATGGATTAGGTATATGTGATTGTTATTTTATAATTATATTGTGTATAATGAAAACAAATTGGATGGAATAGATACATTGACCAAAAGTTAAAGCACAGTAAAAATAGATAGAGTGGTTATTTAGACATAAAACAGAGAAAACATATCACATAAAAACCGTTCTATCCCAAATAATCTGCAGTACAGTAATATACATATGTATAAATGCAGGAAGAATCCATAGACAAAAAAGTGGGTGAATTAAAAATAAAAGTTTAGTTATCCTTCCTTAATTGATTAAAAAAGTATGCCAAAAACAAAATTTAAGAAAAAATATTTTTGTTTGTTCTAAGGTTTTATTTTAATATTTATATACTAAGATTAAACTCAAGTAGATACTGCGTTTAAAAAAGCTTTTAGAAAGCAAATGTAGGTTATTTTTTGAAAGAATCTTCCAGACTGGACCAATTAATGGTATCTAAGGATAATGAAAGGTAATTAAGTAACTCTTAAGACATTCTTTGATAAACAAAGTTGTTTAGAAAGTATAATGAACTAGGTTTAGTTAATAAACATTAGTATAAATTATCAGTATGCATATTATCTTAGTTTAAGTATCACTCTCACCACGATTACGATACAGTATGTTGGATCCTGGTTCACTGTTACTAAAATCAGTGTTATCTGGGAATGACACTGGTCTCACATTGCTGCTTCTTTCATAATAATATCGGGGATCGGGTACTAGGAGATGACGAGTTGATTTCGAAAGTGGTGAACTTATTTCATCGGGTTGAGTAAATTGCTGGTGGTTAATACCACTATAAGGCCAGTCTGTGCTTTGTATGTCATCTGAAAAATGTGAAAAGCAGTGTTAGTTGTTAGATTTTTAGATATATTTAAAAATGTAAGCGATTGGTACTGTTGCTGATGAATTTTATGAACATTTTTGCCTGACTACTTAAGCTGCTTGTATCTAGCGCGTTAAATCATTTCAATAACGGACCATCTTGTATATAAAGATTAAATAAGTTCATGTGTACCTAGGTACATTTATTTAATTCCTAAAAATAATTTAAAAGCCACATTACATATATTTATTAAATCATTGTAATTTTAATTTGTAACATATTTTTTTAACTGCTGTGCGCTGTATGAATTTATAATATAATTTTTCGTAAATATTAATAATATATTTCGTTCCTATCATTGAATTGTATAAATATATTTTACTATTTTCCAGACCTTCGCCATCTTAGCCAGAACTCAACGTTCTAGACAGTGATGCCGGATGTATCTTTAATTTCGTCAATAATCGGTGTTGATGCATGTTAAAGACAGCTACTTGTTGACCTTTTTTCAAATGATTTTATAAATACTGATTAAGAAACATTTACCTGATATTCATATTCTCCATTCTCAAGTTTAAACTTTAAATTTTACTTGACCAGTTCGTCAGTAAATTGCATTATTAGCTATTGCAGAAATCACTGTAGGGTATTTCAGATCAGATTTTTAATGTTTTCAACGATTGTTTGATTTTAAAATAACTCTTATGTGTTCTTTATACATCGGTAATTCCTCAAAATTGTTATTTGTATTTCATATAACCAGATTAATTTTTCAAGAAAACTGGCAACGGCGCCACACAAGACACGGCAGCTAGAGTTTTTGAAAAGTAGGCTGTGGATTTGACGTTTTTAAATTCTAGAAGAAATTGGAATGGTAGTGAATTAGCAAAGTTACCGAGATATAAATGATCTGAAGAAAATAGCTGCGTATTTGATAAAGTTAATCAAATAGAAGAATTTGTGGGTAAGAAATCTCTTCCGAATTTCTAAAATTTTGTACCTGTTCTAATAGGTAACCTGTGTTCTAGAGAATCTAAACCTATGCATTTTTTTTTAGATATTTGAGAAGCAAGAACTTTTAAACCTGTTTAATCTTCGTTACAAGTATACTTGTAAATCGGTAAGATATTTTCTTTAATACGAGTATGTGTACTTATCGATAAATATTGTGTTAGCTTCATACCTAGGAAAGATACGTTTATGAATGCAATTCGGGTACAGTCTGCAGTAAAAAATCAAATAAATGAGTTGGTCTTATTCGATACGAATTCTGTTTTTCAAATCTTTATTTCCATGTATAAGTATCCTGTTCATTACATACGTGTATGCTCTATCTGTATGATTTATTTTCAAGCTTTGAATTCTATTCTCAATTCTCATAAATTCTCCTGAAAGTGGAGTTTGGTTGGAGCGTTTCGCACTAGATGTCACTAGTGCAATATCAGTAGTGTTTTGACTATTTTATTTTGAATGGGTATTCCTGTTTTTTTTTGTATAACATTCTATTGATTTTTTATTCTTCACAGCTCTTATTAATAGTAATTTATTTAAAATATTACTTATGTAATTTCTTTTATCCAATATTTCAAAGAGGATACACCTGCCGCCATGTTTGATCCAGCTTAATAAATTTAAAATGTTTTATTACCTAATTTTTTGGAGTAGGTAGTAGGTACATATTAAATTCGTATTTTGTTTTCAATTCTAAATGTTTTTATCAAAATTCATCTATGTATCTTTCTGCAAATGTACATTTCAAATTTAAAGGCAATCATTCATACATGGGACTGTCAAAAATTAGGACCATAAAATAAGGCCAGTCAAATCTTTCTCATTATCTGACCTTACTATGAATCTTTGGAAGAAAATGCTATTTATTTCACTTTTTTTCAATAATAGTAGTCTGTACAAGAGTGGATATGATGGCCATATATCACGTAGACAAAATTTGAGTGCAATCCCATATGTAGAGTGCTCAATCCTCTGAATGCGATTCAAACAATTTTACAGCATACAACAGTTTCACAGCATATTTTTTCTACGACCCACTAATGAAAATATACAGTTTTTTTACATAAAATTATTGTTATAAAGATAACACAACAATTTTAAAAATTAGAAAATTTAAAACATAAAATGGCCTCAGTTTGGATTTATAATTTAAAAAAGAATAGATCAGTCATTAAATATGAACTGTGATTGGTGGAGTTCATACTCAAACGGTGTCCTTACTAGAATGAATATGAAATGATATCCGTTCAATAGAATGCGCTGGCTTACTTATTTATTTTGTAGTCTGTTGTTAGAAATAGAAATAGAATTTATTAATCTTTGAGAATTATACACTATACAAAGACACTAGGTACATAATGTAAAATCCTATCAGACTAGTCAAAAAAGTGTTAAGAAAATACATTAAAAAATAAAATATATATAATAGACAATTCATGTTAAGATTAGTTTAAAAGTTCAAAAAATCTTCTATACTAAAAAATACATTATTTACAAGAAAATCATTAAGATGTTTTCTTAAATCATTACGACTAATTTGATGATAACCTGTAGTATCTTCTAATATGTTACTGAACTTATGTTAACACTTAATCCCAATATATTTTGTTGAATGTTGGCTTATTTGTAGTCGTGAAAAAGGTTGATGGATGTTAAATTTTAATCTAGTATCATATGAGTGCAGGTCTTAATTTTTCTTAAATATATACTCATTATCTTTTATGTATAAAATTAGTTGAAACATAAAAAAGGTAGTGTTAAAATTGCGTTTTCTTGAAAAGTTCTTTACATGATGTTGTTGGTGTCACCTTATACATGGCTCTCAGAACCTTATTTTGAGATACAAAAGTTCTTTCAAAGTATGGTGAGGAACCCCAAACCAAAATAGCATAGTTTTAAAGTATCAAAAGATAGTGTATCCCTTAAATTTTTGATGATATAACAACAAGTACTTAATTTTGAAGTTACCATTTTTATATGAGCTTCCCAATTTAAATTGGGATCTAATATTATTCCTAAATATTGAACTATTTGTTGAGAGCTTAAATAAAAATTACTTATATCACTTATAAAAACTATAAAAAGAAGTGGGCCCAAAATTGAAACCTTGGGGAACTCCTATTGTACATGGAAGAGGATCAGATTTTAGACTATTTGTTACAATTACTTGAGGTCGATTTATTAAGTAAGACTGTATCCATTCATAAGGTTTCACTCGTATTCCTAACCCATTCATCTTCAATAATAAAAGATTATGATCCACCATATCAAATGCACGGCTAAGGTCATAGAAGAGTCCCAAAATATGTTTTTTATCATTGAGTGCATGATATATAAATTTTAGGCAAGCTGCAATTGCAGTAGATGTTGACTTATTTTTTCTAAATCCATTTTGAGTATCTGGCAACATATTAAAACTTTCAAGGTAATTAGTGAGTCTAATAAAGTATGCTGACTCAAATATTTTAGTTATTTGACTAGATATACAGATTAAACGATAATTTTCTTTATAAGATGCAGATCCCTTATTTTTATAAACATGAATTCCTTTAGATTCCTTCATATTTGGGAATAATCCCGAAACAAAGGATTCATTAATCAAATGTGATATGGGTTCAGCAATACAATGAGCAACCGATAACAGAATTTTACCATTTATTTCGTCAATACCTTCAGTGGGTTTAGAAGTAGTTTTTTTGATTATAGTGATGATTTCACTAGGAGTTGTTGGAAAAAGAAGAAAACTTTTATGATGTTTATCAATACTCATAGTATAGTTAGGTACAATATTATCTTTATTTACATTAATAAAATAGTCATTGATATAATTTACTTTTTCTAAGGGTGTTAATTTGTCATCATTTGTAAGTTTAATAGAATTCAATAAGTTGTTTTTTCTTTTTCCCCTACTCTCCTTTATTATATTCCAGGATTCTTTCATTACGTTATTACTTTTTAAAATACGATCATTATTTTTTCTTCTCAAATATTGTTATTTTGTTATTTTTTGATACTCTTTTTTTAAATTATTGTAACGTTCTAACGTTCTGTATAATATGTAGAATTTATTTCTTTCTTTAACCTGTCCATTTCACATAATAGATTATGTAACTCTTTAATATGAGGTTGAAACTGATTTTTTAATTTTTGTGGTTTTATCGCTTTCTTTGTTTTCGTAAGTACAATATTGTAGTGGTATAGGAGTGATTCATAAAAGATAGAAAATGTATCATTAAAATTAGTAGATGTGTATACTTCACGCCAATTTTTAACTGATAAAATATTTATAAAAGTTATTGCGTTAGGAACACTTAAATCTCGTTTATATCTGTATTTAAATTCGTTATTTTTAAAATTAGGTAGTTTAATCGAACATAATAAGTAGTTATGATCAGACAAAAAAGTATCATATACACCCACCTTATCTACATCAAAATTGGTAAAAAAATTATCTAAACAAGTTGAGGTTGTACTTGTTGTTCTCATTGCAACATTTATATGATGTTTAATATTAAATTCCTTCAATAAGTCAATTAAAATAGTTTTTTGATTACCTTTAATCAAAAAATCTACGTTAATGTCACCACAGATAAAATAGTCATTGTCGTTTTGATAAATATTATGAATTAATAGCTCTAACTGATTTATAAAAGTGCTAAACTTAGTACAAGGTGGCTTATACACGGTAATAATAAATACAAAAGTTTAGAATCAATCTTTATTTTTCCACCACATACTTCAAATTCACCTTCTATACACCACCTATGTAAATTGATTCAAAATTTGCAGCAATACTTGTTTTCATAAATATACTAGCACCACCTTTTTTTTATTTATCCGTGAAAAATATGATACTAGCTTAAAATCGTCAATTGAGGTAGCTTGTAAATTGTTAGAATCAAGCCAATGTTCAGTAACACATAGAATACTTACATTTAGATCAAATCATTTATTGGCAAAACCTCCCTGTATATTGATATGCAATAAAGTAATATTTAACTGTTGGGAACTGCAAAATAGTAATTCATTATTTTCTTTCAAAAAGTGGTTTTCCATAGTAGTCCTTGAGGTCTCTATTTTATCATGTTTGAAGTAGAGGCTAGGTTTGAAAAATTTTCTTCACTCTTATGCGATCTCTGGTTTTGTGAATCTTCAAGAAATCGCTGACCTTGTTTAAAGTTGAATCGGGAATAAATTAAATTTTTCGGCCAAAAATCTGATTTATATACTTGCTCCAGAAAATGAGGATCTATTCCCACTAGAAAAGCTTGATTATTCTGTCTTACAAAATATGTGTCTAGTTTCTTCACATAAATGTTTTCTGCGTTTGTGCGTTTATGAATGTATTTTTTAACATTCTCTTCATTTACAGTGTCTGATACTCTAGATACAAAGAGCCAAATTTTTTTGTTTGATTTTTCGCTTCCTTTAAATTCATCATCACCTACTCCACTTACCATAATTGTTGTTTTTTCTCCTTTGCCGTCTTGTTACTATAATCATTTTCATGACTCCCCTCATTGGCATCATTTGCTAGATTTATTATTTCATTAGTTTTTTGTAGGGTTTGAATTTTCATTAGTTCTAATGCAACTTGTTTCCTTTGGAGGAATGAGTCATCCTGTACAGGGGCATTCCTATAATCGCTTGTGTTTTTGTTTGGTATTAAATGTTTATTTCCAACAGGTATACTCACACTTTCCGTTTTTGTTTGTTTTTCTATAAAACCTGGTCTTTTATTATCACTGATAGATAAGTTTTGATTTTTGTCAACTCTTATAAATTTAGAATAGATAATATCCATGCTGGTGTAGAAAAAATATGTTTATTTGTTCCTTACACAATATCTTATGAATGAACAGACAGGAACACAGTATTTCTAAGATTTATTGAAAGTAAAATATTATAGGTACTTCGGTGCCTCGTTCGGTGCCTATAAAACCGCAGAATAAAATTTTCTTAAATGTGGAACTCTTCTAGGTATTTTTGATAGTATTTGGTTACCAGGCTGTGTACTCATTGAGAACTCAACTGAAATGCTCAGTTAATTTGTAATTTTGTTAAGATCAACGATTGGCCAAAGATAGTGGACCATCTGAGACTTTTTGAACTCTACCAAATTGGATACAATAAATAAGACTATGTTTATTATTGTTTTTATTATTTTACACTCAGCTAAGTTTTTCTTACCAGTTCTAATTAATTTTTTATTTTTTTTTCAGTGCTATCTGCAATCGTATGAACTTTTCGTGTAAAGGTAGGAGAATGTCTGTTGAGTTACTCATATACAGGGTGGGGAACCATATATAACGTGCTTTATGAAAATTGAATTTTTTTTTGTGTCAAATATAAATTTGATCTTAATACAATTGGTGGTATGTAACACGTGTACATATGTTTTTTTGCGTAATTAATAAGTAAATAAACGTTGCCGCTCGGAAATAGAATATCCTTAATGGTCAATAATCACTCTTTGTACATTGTATGTGGTGCCCCACCCTCTATATAAGATTAGATAAGAAAAAAATAATAACATATAAATGTAAGTAGATAGGTATCTCAAATTATTCTTAAAATATAATTTTGAACAAAAATATTTAGGTTTATTAAAGGAACTTAACAAATTATTTAAATCTCTTTATGACCTACTTCAATGTTTTCTAAAGATCTCAAAAATACACATTATGTTTATGATCATCAGATCTGATGTTACTAACAACAATACCTGTGAACTCTTCAGAAAAAAAGGAAGCAATGATGCAGATACCATTTTTTTTGTCAAGAAAGTATCCACAATTATGTAAATTAGTTTTTTAGAGTAACTCTTGTATGATTTTTTGTGTGTTCATGTCTTTGATGTACACAGAATAAGGAAACAGTGGTTTCTTAAATATTTTGTGTTATCATCGATACTATTTGTAGATCATTTCATGTCTCTTTGACAATAAAGACATTTGGCCTTAGGATTTTATATCTTTCGGAATGAGATGTAATTTCTTTGGGTTGAATGGACAAGGCTGCAAAAATGTTTACTGGTGATATCTCTGTAATAGTCTACTTAACTGATTCAAGATAAATTAAACTTTACTTATTTTTGTGAGTTGAAATTCCCAATTTTAATCAAATTCTCACTGTAATTATTTAGATTTAGCTACACATTATTCAATAAATATAAATAGTCTAAAATAATTGATTAGTACATACAAAAATTTATTTAAAAATTTCCAATTATAGGTGGTATAAAAATGCTAATATAAAAAGTTTTGAATTATGTAAGTAGTACTATTAAGATTTTTATTAAACGAAAACTCTTATATTGAGGAAAATTTAAATAAAACCAATGATTAGCAATGTTTATTTCATACCAACTTCTTTTACCGCTTTTACGTTTTGTGCTACATTTCATATTTTCTTTGGTTAACTTCGTAATAAGTATTTTTCCTTTTTATTTAATTTATTGCTCATTTTTTACAATTTATCTAGAATAGTTTCTATGCCTATTTGTATTTTTGTCTCTTATTTTTCATTTTTGTTTTATACATTTGTTATATTAATTTTTGTTATTATTTTTGTTATATTCATTTTTGTTATGTTCGTTTTTGTTATGTTCATTTTTGTTTTGTTTTATTCATTTTTGTTTTATTAATGTTTATTACATTCACTTTTTGTTTTGTTTTTGTTTTTGCTAGGGTGGACATTGGAGAAGATATTACCAAGCCTATGTGTTGTTTAAGGCTTGGTTATATCTCTCCACGTTTTTCCATCCACTTTTTGTTCTTTCTTGTTCCTTTTTTAGTATACTTACTTTATTATCTATTACTTAGCTGTCTTTACTATATTTCAGTTTCCATCGCTATATAGTTCTGCTTTTATTATTTTGTATTTACTATCTGGTATTTTTTTGGCACTAATGTGGCTCCTACATAAACCATTTTCTTTCAGTATTAAATTATAGTTTTAGGTAACGAAATTTTCATAAAGAGCATTTAGTCCTCAAATATAAGATTTTTAGTTAAATGAAAACTTGGGCCCATTTTCACAACTAAAGATTATGAACATGGACCTAGAGTATCATCGGGAAACATGGACATGAAATGATGTGTGTCTGTAATGAATGAACTGACGTCGCCGGGCACAGAAGATTTCCGGAGTGAAATATACGGGGGCCGCCCATGATGTAATAAGAACTCAGAAAATATGAAGAACACAGAAAATATGGTCAAAGGATGAAACATCTGATTGAAGTTTATTAAAAGGTAGGTGATTTAGTTTGTTTTTTTATTTTAACCTTATCTACTAAGTATGCTATCGTATCGATACCCGTATTATGTACTGGACACCGGACGCCATTTTGAAACATTTATGCAACAAATAAATATTACCTTTAATCTGTTATTTCATAAAATATCAAAATAATAAACACAACAATTTGTGAACATTCATGTGAATTTGAAGGTTTATTTTTTGTGGTGCTGTTTGCTCTAAAATGTGGATTTCTAATAGTTTATGAACGTTTGTTTATAATAATTATTCTGTGTTAGACTATAGACGATCTGCAATTTTAGATAATACAGCATTTTTAAATATTTTTTTGACTATTATAAATTAAAACATCAATGTTGTTTGTTTATTTACATGTATTTATTTGTAATGAAATCAAGCTTTCTTAGTTATGTACTTTTTATCACATAAGTACTAGTTTCAAAAAGGTTAACAAATTACTTATGAAGTGAAATTTATAACCAATATAAAAGCTAGTATATAGTCAAGCTAATAATACTAAAAACTTCCGGGTTTTTAATCATATCTCTTAAACTCTTTATAATGTAACACACATCTATTAAGCCCCACTATTAAAACCAATCCAATTTACATTTTAAAAGGGTTAGTGTTAGCTGCAGAAATAAAATGCATAAGGAAAATAGCAGGGAAAACAAAATATTTTAAAGAAATAATACAAACAGCTTTAATGGCATTGACATATTCTCAGAACATACCGAAAAAAATAGACAACAAAGTAGATTCAAAAAGGCATGGCTGGATAGGAAAGCTAGAAACAACTTAAAAATTTGGAAGAACTGAAAAAATTAGTAAGAAGCAAAAAACCTTTGAAACAGTCACATTATGGGTAGTGTCAAATTGAAAGATAAAATAGTAACCCCCTAGGCAATTAATTTTTTGATAATTTACAGTTTGACCGTGTTGTTATTGAAATTTCAATACTTACATCAAAATTTTGCCAAAAAAACTGATGTCATCAATAAATAGCGATATACTTTTACTTCTTAGCTTTTTAAGTATTTTCTAAATAAGACTTACCACTCAATAAAATTTAGTTGAATTAGCTCTGATCGCGTTTATGCCGTAAAAAATATTTAATGTTATTTTTGTTATAAACAAAAGAAATAAATTTTAAAAATATCATACACTTTTGAATAAATACTGTGACCTCCAAATAAAAAATCACATTAAATACCTCCATTGTTTAATTATATTGTAATTGAAAAACTGAATGGAATTTATGGAGGTCATTTTATTATTTATTTTTTTAAAAGAAACTGTACCTCTGCATGATCCAAAAGCTTGAAGGACGATATCTTTTTGCGATTTGCACGCTTGCATTCTTAGATCACAGGCTGAATTGTAAGTTACCCCATTACTGCCACAAACCATCTGAAAAAAAAATCACAATTTACTTGTTCAGAAATTAAATTATTTATTTTAATGTTATAGCAATTCTAAACAACCTCGTATTCATTGATATAATGCCTGCCCGCTGTGGTATGCAACTAAGGGAACAGTTTGTTCGGATGTACGCCGACTTTCATTTAAATAATCACCCATTTATTTATTTATTGATTATTTATTAACAATAAGGAGTACGAACAGGACGAACCCAAAAATAGTACTCACAATTTACAATATAATAATAACAACAACAAGTAAATTTAAAAATAAAAACATTGTATTATTTAAAGATACACATTAAAAATATTATAATAATTTAAAGGTAAATATATTATTTAAACATACTATTTAAAAATATTATTTAGTGATATTATTTAAGGAATTAGAAAAGGAAAAAGAAATTATAACTCTAGAGTTTTATATTCAAGAAAATGTACGTAAGGTATCATGAAAAATATCAATTTCTGTGAGGTTAGATAAATTATTGTAGCTTTTGATACATCTGTGAAGAAGTGAATTTAAGTAGTAGTTAGCAGTACACTGTTCAGAATAAAATATTTGCTTGTTTCTGACATTGTGAGATGGTATACAGTATCTAATATTATTTATGATCATAGTAGAGTCAACCAGGTTATTTACTAATTTGTGTATAAATTTAGAGTCCGCAATGTATCTTCTGTTAGCCAAAAAAATTAATTTAACATCAACCATGTTATTGATGTCGCGATTTTAATAACTACTAACTGCGCTGGGCCTGACTTGACTGCAGATATCGATACACAATAAGTGAACCAGCTAAGTTGAGCCGTTGCTCAAAAATTTCGTGGTTATTTTACTAAAAATTCCATTTTATTTAAATTAATTTTCCCATCTTTCAAATACTCGTGCTTCTTTTATTGTCTCGCCATAAACACTATCTAGGTATTCATAAACCTTCGCCTGTATACGAATAAATAAATCAAAAAATAAACTATGAACAAATTAAAAAAGTTCATCACTATGGTCATATAAAATCAGTGTTTATTATCCTGCTTCCGCTATTTCTCTTGCCATCGTCAAGTTTTTCTTTTTTACATTGAAAACTTTTACCTAGAGTTTCAAAGCCAAAGTCCGCTTATTCACATAATTTATAACAATGTTGCTGGGTAAATAATAACTAGCATTGCTGTAAAGGACGTAACATAATACATAATTAATGTGCAGGTTTTTCTAAATATAAAATACGAGGGTCATGTTAAAAATTGTCGACCCTACAACATTTTTGATAACTGTAAATTAAACTAATATTCTTAAACTTACTTGGGGCGATTCTTTTTCGTTGGTACAATTTACATGGCACTGACATAAAGCGGAACCATCTTTTTCAACACATGTTGCTCCAAAGTAGCACGTTCTTTCTGTACATGTTGAGGGATTTGAAGACATAGCTAATTCGGTGGCTAAAATGGAAGTGCGTATTTTTAGATAATAACTAAAAGTATTTCAGAAAATTAATACGGTAATATTTTAAAAATATCTTCAGAGATGCATGAAAAAACTCTCCCTTATGAATAGCAACTATTCATGAATTAATTTTTTTTATAGGGAGATATAAAGTATATGGCTCTTTTGGGAATAAACTACTGTTCAATAAATATATGTATAAGCTTTTTTTATCGATTGTACCTATTTGAGATGATCAAAAATTAGTGTCATGCTACAGTAATTAGGAATAGGTTATGATATGCGAATATTATTTGAAATTTCTGTAATTAATATCACTTAAGCTTTTGGTAAATTTAGGTAGGTGAAAGCACATTACGTTAGATGAAGATTAAATAAATAAAACAAAAATTACTGGGCAATTAGACTGCTGAAATGGATATGGATTTGTGTAGAAGACAGATAAATAATTGGTTACAAATGAGATCGGCAGTGGAGGCAAACAGGACTTTGATGAGCTGGAGTTTTTGGAGGATGCACAATGAGCCTATGTGATGTAGGGGCATCAGCAGTGATTACGATATAGATAGAAAAGAGTTGTTAGTCAAAATAAGTTTATCTTCGGTGAAACCTCCATTAATTCAGAAAAAGAGAAATTATTTTAAAATTTAACTTTTTAAACGTACCAGTGACGCATCCATTAGGCCCTAAAAATTTGTTGTGGTTGGTGCACACTGTACACTTTTGACCCTGTACTCCTGGTTTGCACACACATCTCCCCGTCATTTGTTCACAGTCATCTCTAACGGATCCAAAGTTTGAGCAAGCGCAAGCTAAAAAATAAAAAAATTAAAAATATGTTTTCAACGTCTATTCATTTTTTAATTTTAGAAAAGTTTCTACATCGACAGAATTTCTTGAAATTTTAATATGCTATTAGGGGAGTAACATTAAGAAATGTCTCCTCTGTTCCATTCTTGTAACTATACAGGGTAATATTATATAAATGAAAGAAAATAACACATTTTAAACTGAATCCAGCTCGATACTTTACACATAACAAAACATAACTTCAAACGTTCATTTTTCCATTACACAATTCGGGTAATTATACAGGGTGATACTGAAAATTAAGTTTAACGTTATAGGAGAAAATTAATTAAATTATTAAGAAAATACTATATTTTAAACTGAAAGGTTTACTGATGCATGCGGTTTAATAAAAATAAATATATATCTCCATAATTATAGAAGGATTTTAAAATAAATAATACTGTTGGAAATAACAGGTAAACAAGTAGACTAAGTAAGTAAAATATCTAGTGAAAACAAGACAACAGAGTACAAAACAGTATGGTGGAAAAACACTTAGAACACCTTAGAGGTGAAGTGCGAAGACTATTCAATAAAGCCAAATCAACAGAAGACTGGGCCCTATATAGGGTTAAACTCATGCAGTACAACAAGGAGATAAGAAATACCAAAATACATTCGTGGATGAAGTTCTGTGAGGAGTTATCTCAAACACCTACATACTCCAGTATCTAAAAAGTCCTAGTAAAACAGGGTATTGCAAACCAGGTAGAATTTCTCAGAAAAGTTGATGAAACCTATACAAAATCCTTTGAGGAATGCTCACAGAAGCACATTTTCCGGTCGCAGAAATTATGTTAGATAGTAGCATACAGTCCCTAAAGAAGGTCTAGTATGTCAACTCCTTTGGAGTAAAGGCTAGCTACAGAAATATCGAGACCGAACAATCAAGGGCTGTACGCCCAAGGATATGCCGATGACATATAGTCATCCTTATCCGAGGAAAACACCAAACCACAGTCTTCGAACTCATGGAAAGAGCTCTTAGGCTGACAGAAATCTGGTGCGTTAGGGAAAACCTCTTGGGTTGTGTCTTGTCAGGGTTTACTGACAAGACACAACTCGTAACCTTTACTCGAAAAACAATCTTAGAAACTCCGAAGGCTAACCAAAACAAACCAAGTAAAATATTTGGATCTAATCCCAGATAGCAAACTTACTTGGAACCAACACTTACAAAAAGTGACCAACAAATGTAAAATGTCTCTCATTGTAGGGAGACGGGCATTTGGAAAAACATGGTCCACTGGCTATATTTGGCAATAACAAGATACATGATAACTTATGAAGCGGTTGTTTGGTGGCCAAAAGTAAACCAGAAAATAGTCCTCAATACCCTCTCAGGATTTCAAGGGCTGGCATGCCTTTGTATAATAGGAGCACTGAGAAGTATACGAACAGGAAATTATTCTAAATCTCCCATCCCTTGACCTAGTTATAAAGGGGGAGGAGAATGAGTGCAGATTGGAAATCTCCAACAATTGGAACCCACTGGGACATATAAAACATACCAGAATAACACATGAAGTAAATGATGCTATATTAAACATGAGATCAGATCACCTGACACCATTCCTAACCTTCAACAGACTCTTCCAGGTCAACTGGAACGAGGTAAATAAGGAGATAGATAAATACTTGCTTAGCGGTCTCGTATGGTAAACGGAAGTATCTAAAACTAACATGGGAACAGGCTCTGGCGTACATGGAGCAAAACCCAAATGCGACATCATCGTCTCACTGGGAAAAATACCACTGTATTTCAGGCTAAAATACATGCAATCGAATTTTGTGTATGAGAGAATTTAAGAAGGAAGTACAAAAAACAAACCATCCTAAATCTCTCAGATAGCCAAACAGCCCTAAAGGTTCTTGATTCAACCAGAATCAAGTCAAAGCTTGTCTGAAACTGCCTTGGAATACTAAATGATCTGGCAACCAACAACAAGGTAAAACTAGCGTGGGTACCAAGGAACAAAGGTATCCAAGGAAATGAGAAGGCTGATGAACTCAAAGAGGGATCAGAACTACCATTCACAGGACCCGAACCTGTATTTGGGATAAACAAAACCTCTGCTCGACAGGCAGTGAACAGGTGGATAACCACAAAATACCAAATTCACTGGCACAGATCAGTAAGCTTATGACAAGGGGACCAAACCCACGCATGGCTGCTGAGACACAACTCGTAAGTCTTCAGATATCTACCATTGTGGAATTACTAACGGAGCACTGCTTGCTGAAACACCTTCATGTGATGGGATTACACAATGGTCCCACTACGTGTAGATGTGTAGACGTGTAGATGGAAGTGGAAGAAACCTCATACCATGTGATCTTCAAATGCGAAGCTCTTACTTGTCGACGTTTTATCCTTTTCGGCCTAGAACCGGAAAGAACGTCCCAGGAACACTTGGTAGGGAACTTATTAAAACTAACCAAAGACATAAGACTATTCCAACGAAAGTTCCTGTATACGGGGAAAGCAGGGGACTACAATAGACTCAAGAGGCTGCAGTGTTCTGGGCCAAACCTAACCCTACTTGCTTATAACCAACCAATATTAAGATAAAAAATGTTAGTTTTACAAATCCCCTGAAATAGATGGAATATATCCCATTCCACTACAAAAGGGATAGGAAACTAATTCCACATATGTGTCGCTTATTTAAAGCATGTATTGCCTGGCGACATAAAAGGCATGGCAAAAGGTTTATAGGGTATCCAATATTAGGAAACCATATTTATTTTTCGGTCGATGGGAACTTGATCCTCTCATCCGCCTTGTCCACAATGAGACCGAGTGTGGTTCTATGGTTCTGGAGACTACAGGCTGTGTATATCCCAGTTCCTCACAGATACCGCTCTAGAAGCCATAAAACACTTTAATTTTTTGCGTACTTCCCCTGGTTTCCCTCTCCTCGTCAATGAAGTAGTTGGATAACCACTGCATGTTTATTTCGTCAAGGAAATTATAATATTCCTTTCCTCTAAATAATAATTTGCTACAGAAGCTTCTCTGAACTAGACGCATGTTCTTTGAAGCAAATCCTTCAGTTTTAAAATAAATGCTACTGTTTATGAATCCAAAAAAGTGAAACCTTTTCCATTGGAGCAACACTTTTTTGATTCAAGTCCAAATAATTTCCTTCTCCTTTTTATGAATAGAATGTGAAGTAAATGCTTCGATTAGTCTAATAAAAAAGACCAGGCTAGACGACATACTCTAAAACAAACGGAGTCCCACAATAGATCTGAAAAGGTCGCGGTGGATAAGGACAAATAACGTCCAACTCTTAATCTAATCTAATATAATCTTAATGCTTCGATTTCTGCAAGTAAAATCAAATAAATACGGCCTAATATGTAGCTCAAAAAAGGCATTTAGTTAAATAATCTTAATTACAACGCAATGAAATTAATCAAAAATCCCATCCGTTTTAATGTTTAATGTATGTACTGAATAAATCACAGTAAATCAATGATTTTTTTTAACTGGAAAAGTCTACTTTATAATTTTCTTCTATAACTATCAATAGCCATTTTACTTCACGTGTGTGCATGTAGGCATTCTTTAGAAAGTCGAAGGAAAGAATAGCCTTGCCAGTACAACTACCTACTGGTAATTATCAAGATATCCGCAAAGTAGTTACTGTCGTTTATATGTTTATGTTTCCGACCCCATCCAGTTCTTTGAAAATTCCTTCTAAAGCAAGCGTTAACAATTAAGACTATTAAAATCTGGACACTTGTCGTTATAAGATTTCATTTCCGAAATTCCGCATCAAAACATCGCTATTCATCTGTGACACGTACTTTGTCTTCCTGGGCAGTGCAAAATACAAAAAGCCGGAATTCTGGCGACGTGCGAAAACGAGAATATCTCGTTGATTTCTCCCTCATTGTCAATGTCTTGGTTTGAAACAAATTTGCTTCGCGGCGTGCCAGGTGAATGAACTACAATATTCATCGAGAAAGGGCTTTTCACAAAGACGTGTTGTGCGGGCTGTAATTTTGCCAGCTCTAAATTTATTGTCGTGTACACGTTACATAGCGCTAGATTTATTATAGCCGAGTCGGTCCGTAATTAGCCCATTGTTCCATAGTTTTACATTTTTATTTGTTGAATAATTGCCTATTTTCGATAATTGGATAACCAGACAACTATTTATTGCGTCCATATTTTTTGTTTCGATTCAGATTTTAATTCCTGCGTTTTATTTATATTTTAATATAGCTCGAAATATTTCAAAACCACTTCGACAGAAGTGCAACACCAATGAAAATAATGTCATTTAAATCATCGTATGAATTACCCTGTGTGGCCACTCAAAAGCCTTTGAATGTGTCTCCCACAGCATTCTACTCGAAAAACTTTCATAGTGTGAAATAAACGGGACTGCGTTGGGATTATTGAACAACCGCCACCAGTCAGGTTTTTTATTAAGTTTCGTAGAACATCCATTCTGCTCAAACGTAACATTAAAACGTCTTTGAGTTTTGTTCACCTTTCCTGTGCAGTTTTTTTTTATTAATAATCCATTGGATTATGGATTTGGAGCATTCGCTTGATATAACCTATGTTTACATATATTTTTACTTGTATTATTGTATTGCATTTCGGTAGCAATAGTTCCTCAGCTCTTTGTAGTTTTGGTGTAGGAGAGGAGTGTGAACAAATTATTATTATTACAAAAAGGGCAGAGGACGGTGTCCTATTGTGGCCAGTAAAAAAAGAGGAAACTAATTATCCTAAAAACTATTAAATCAAGAGACGATTTTAAAATAAATCTAAAGACTAAATACAAGTATAGTTCCAAAATTGAAATTTTTTTTTGAATTAGGAATAATCTGGAGTTTGCGCGTTTGCACACATTAGATGATCACTCCACGATAGATTAGAATTCACTGTTGGAATTTTGAACAAAGTTCATAAAAAGATTTTGGAGTTGTTGCCGTTGGAAACATTCATAATGGGCCAGGAAATATCAGGAAAATTGAAGTCTTCAATAATAATTGTGTTATCAAGAACAGATAGATCTTTAAGTTTAAAAGAGTGTCACCCGTCGATAAATACATGCAAGATGTACTGAGGTTAAATGTTTAGTAATTTTTATACATATTACATCTATATTAGAGATTTTTATGTGTACAGGAGATACAGAGAAATTATTTACAATATTTTTTGATAAGTAAATGCGAAAGCCACCACCAATTCGGTTTTCTTGGTCGCTGCGAAAGATTGTGTATTCGTCGATATCAACTAGCGAGTCGGAAGTTGAGCTGTTTAACCAGGTTTTCACTGATAGGAATTATGTCAGGTTTAAGAAGTTGAACAGTGCACATAAATTCATTATATTTAGCGTGAATAGAACATAAATTAGTGTATAAGAGAAACAGTCATCGAGATAGAATGGAGAAAAGCTATCATTGGCAAAACGTAACAATTTTGGGCAGTCCGTTGACATATTTGATGGTTAGGTTATCTTTGTCATTGTTTGTTCAGTTTTCTAGTTCCTTACGTAAGTCCAGGAGGTATTGCTGTTGGATGGGGGTCTTATCGACTATTATATTAATAACGTTGGTGTTTGCATTTTCCAATAGTTTTTTCTTGTTTTTTAAAATGAATTTGGCATCTGATTCAGAGGACATAATAACTTTCAGCATTCTGGGTAAGCGTTGCTGTGGTTTTCCTACACGGAAAAATGTTACTGGTTCTCCTTGAAATCCAATAATATCGAGTGACTCCCTGATTTTAATTTTGTTGTTTTCTTTTTTGGCGTGAATGTCTCCGGTGCTTTCAGGTAATCCCCTGATAAGTACATTTTTTGCACGTGACATACGTTCGACCGCTTCGTTTGCAATTTTTTTGGTGATTTTAACAAAGTTAATAGCTTACACAGACGCAATTTTATTTTTTATATCCGTGATTTCGATCGAGAGTCTAGCAATATCATCGAGTTTCTTTTGTATATTAAGCTTAAATTCAGTTATAAGTTTCTTTAAATCTGTAAAGTTACCAAGATTGACGGAGCAACTATTACATAAAATGTTCAGACCACGAAGTTATACTATGTCACAGCGGTGGGAGCTGCCATGTAACCTTTGAAATTCAAAGTAAAGTTGCACATCAATATATGCTCCCAGATATCAAGAAAAATAAACTAATGCCTTTGTGGACATATTTGTTGCCCGGTTTGTGATCGGATATTTAATTTTTTAATCGAAATTCGGAATATATTTTAAACCCTCCACACTCAAATCTATTTATTACTCTCAAAATAAATTTATTCTGTTAACAACTAAAATTTTACAAAATCTATAGTTTTATAAACGTTAATACTATTTTTATCAACTATAAAAAAATTCGTCCCATATAAATTTGATCGAGATCCGATTGTTTTTTTATAATAAATTGTTGAAAAAATAATACAGAATATAAAAAATATATAATTTATTGAAAATTGTGAATTTACTATCAAAAAATCGCAAATCAAAATCCGAAAAATCAGTATATCTGAAAAATAAGTGGCTGAAATATTTTGAAAATTCGGAAACAAATCTCAACAATCCCCCTAAGAATTATTAAGACCATTCCCGGATCCCAAAGGTGAAAACAAATACTTGTAGAATTGAAAAAACCTGTCGTCGCTGGGGATGGAACCCAGAAACCCAGGTATCTATGTATGCCGAACATGTGTCGAGATTCCTTAACGGAAATTTGATGTGCTAGTTTTGGCCAAACGACGTTCAGGTTCTTTCTCAATATAATTTATTGGCTGGCACGCCTCATTTGATATTTTATAAAAGTTTAGCTAATTTATTAGATTAACCACATTATTTATCAGTTAGGTGCACGTCACAATATCCCAGAGAACATTTTGGTTTACTAATTACTGTTACTATAAAATAACTATTATTGCATGTATTATTGCCCTAATTTTATACTCTCCTGTAACTCCTAACTCTAGGACATTTTTATTCGGTAGTTTTACCCTATTCAGCCCTTTATTCATCCCGAGTTTTCGTGAAAAAATATCAAAATATTCTAATTTATAGCGAATAGGACAATACTCTTAGTTGAGAATCATACAAACATTTTGAGAGTAATGAAATATTTTTTTGACTTTTGGTTCCGATTTTACACTGATTTCAAAAAACAGGCTTTTTTCGCCAGATTGCAAAATCCTTTTTTGCGTATCAATCCTTTTATCGATTCAAAAATATGCCCGCAACATCATCTTGGGACCAGAAAAACCTCGATTAAGCTATATACCGAATTTCATTGAAAAAAGTAAACATCCAGTCACGTGGCCGGAATCCCTAAACCGGATGTTCCAAATGCTTGCATAAGCGTTGTTTTATTTTTTTAGACCTTTGTAAAAATCCATCAAAAAGCAACTGTACTTAATCGTCACATAATCGCTTCTACCGCCGGAACGTAGTACAAGTTGTCTTCCACACCCAACTACAAAGAGCGGCCAAAGAAGGGGCATATCACTTTTTGCAATCAGCGATGGACTTAACTTTCATGAGTTATCATACATAGGTAGGCGCTTTTAAACAGCTCAAACGACTCTGTTAATATACAAGTATATTCTTTTTAACTGGTTTTATTAGTACTCACTAACGCTTGTTACCTATTTAATCTTTTAATCCGTCAGATAATCATTTTACCCCGAAGCTCGGCAATAATTAATCCTAAACAGCTGGGCTGATGAGAGGATTAATTCTCGAGCAGGTCAGAAAGGTCCAATTCAATTCTCTCAATTACTATGATATAAAGCTAATGAACTTTGATCTATTTAGATCTAAATAACAGATTTGACCACTAATGTTCAAACAGTAAGAAAATAAAGTTTTAGGTACTTGAATTTAAAAATTATCCTGAATCTCTTACATGAAATTATAGAATATAACGTAGGAACTGTTAACTAAAAATTATAAACAAAATGACTTTGTAGAAATTGAAATAAATGAAAATTTAATTATAAAAGACATAATTGAAATTCCAGATACACTTAACACATATTATATTGATAATATAATTTTAAGTTTAATCTTGTTAGTTTTGATAGTTTAAAAGAGATTGTTTTTGATGTGTGGAATAAAGGAAGTCCAGACTAAATTAATGTACTGTTTTTAAAATACTGTTTCGAAAATATTACTAATTCATTGACAAATATAGTAAATTCCTCGTTAGAAACTAATACAGTTTCAGACAACCTAAAAATTTCAATAATAACACCAATAGCTAAGGTTGAGAATTCAAAGAGCGCAGTGGCTTGTGTCTTAATAATATGTACAGAAGAAATTTTTTAGACCTGTCGGAGCCGAGCGCATGAAATCATAGAGCACAGGGATTAGTGGAAGGGAGTCTGTCGTGACGTGAACCTAGTAAGTGCTTATATGTTAGCATATGCTACGCGTAGCTTTTGCTTACACTTTTCCGGATATCACTAGCTTTGGTGTATTGTTTTCCGAATTTTAAGACTTTTTTTATTCACTTCGATAATAAGCAAATACTTAACTGCCTAGCATATGCTAAGTTAGCAAATGGTTGCTTTTATTCACACCACCCAATATGTTTAATAGCACTACAATATGTTTTCAGTGACTGGAAACAGAATCTTAACAACAAGATAATTACAGGTGATCTTTTTTTAGACCTAAAAAGAGCATTTGAAACAGTAAATTGATTTCTACTCATTAAAAAGTTGAAAAGTTTTGGTATTATTAAAAATGCACCACAATGGCTTGTAAGTTATCTGCACAATAGAAAATAAAAATTAAGATTTAAAAATATTTTTTCAAAGGAACAGAAAATTAATTAGGTGTACTCCAGGGAAGCGTAATGGGCCCATTATTGTTCCTTCTATATATTGATGATATTTCTCATGTTGCAGGTGGTTACTTAATCAGACTGAAACCAACAGATTTCAGAAATTAAAAAAAAGAGCAATGGGGATATTATTGTCATGTGATAAAAGGACTGGCCTTCTGTTAAAAACTATTTTCTCTACTTAAGTTTAACATTTATTTATAAAATTAAACATGGACTGATTCCCTCTTATTTGCTTGATAAAATAAATTACAACTTTGAATAAACAGTACAAGTAAACAGTACCAAAATTCAGTATTTTTTAAGGGACCTCAAGCTTTTAATGAGTTACCCGTACAACTCAGAAATGTCGCTTCATTTAATACCTTTAAATATAAATTAAGAGATTATTAATTAATGAGCCAGCATCTGTGATATTTTAGTGTTTTATATTTTAGATATAGATATATTTTTTTTTGTTTAATTTTATTTAATTGTAATGTGCTATTATTAGCTTTGCTAAATAAAGGAGGAGATAAATATCAGCACCTCAGAGGTAAGGTGTGTTAAGTTAAATTTTTTAGAGAAAAGAGTTTTCTCGATTTACCGTATAAAATTCTATCTAGTGAAAAACAGATTTAACTTCCTAGTTGCATAATTTCGCCAAAAGTAAGTTACAAACCAAGTATTGCGAATTTGAGGTTAATAATGCTAAGTTACATCAAAATCAAAATTATAGAACAAAGTAAAAAATCTAACAATAATCGAAATAAATTGACCAAACAATTAACTTTTGCAAACGCCCCAATATTTAGTAAATTCACCATTCTGATATAAATACGAATTACAGAGCAAGTCTACTACATATCAAAATAAGTAAAAGAAAATAGCTTTCTCTCTACTCACGTATGCATCCATGGTACCCTGTAGATATTTTTGGTAATCCCCAAAAGCCTGGTTCACACCTATCACATTTGGCTCCGCCGACGCCTGGTCTGCAGCGGCATTGTTGAGTCTGAGCGTCGCAAATGTCTGAATAAGATCCTAATTTGTTGCAATCGCAAGTAGAAGGACACCCGCTGAAATTTGGACCTTGTGCGGAAGTTTTTGCGTCAGGACAGCATCCGTACCAGCTTTCTTCGCAGCCTTTTTTATCCGCTGTTGGTTCATCTATAAAACAGTGAATTTCAGAAGTAATATAAATTTATGGTTTATATGGATAAAAGATAAATAGTCGCGTACTAGAATATAATTATGTTAAAAGGATAGATATTTGGACTAAAGCGACAGAGGTGCGACCAAAGTTGGTTTGTGTTACACCTTGGAGTTGTGAAGATGGATTCCTTATTGATCTAGGGGTAATTAGGGTTTTTATTTTCATATTTTCAAATGCATCTTTTAGTTTTCGGATATTTAACTGATATGCTCTCCCTTCTTCAAATATAAATTTTTGTGATTTCCTACTTCTTATTAATTATATTCATATTTGCAACGGATGGATTCATTTTTTTCTATTAATTTATTTAACTTCTGCTTGATTTTAACTACAAAGTTTATACAGACGCTGGTGAGCATGGTAACCTCAAATACCAGAAATTTAGCCGAATCTTCTGATGTTTCAACCAGAGCTAGATGTAGGGATAATTAACGACTCCAACATTAATGGACTCGGGACCGTCAGCTTTACATCTCCTCCGAAAGATGGCATACCCCACGCTATACCTCGTATTAATTAATATAGCGCCTGTCAGCTGTGGTATGCAACTACGCGGACATTTTGGGCTATTATAGTTACGTCGATTTTCGTTGGATAGTCATATATCCAAGTACTAACTGTAGGCGAACCTGCTTGACTTCAGATATCGATACACAATAGTGAATCTGCTAAGCCGGGCTGCTGTCACATTTTTACTTTATTAGCTTCATTTGTTAGTAGTGACGTTTATGATATTTTGTAAACTAGAAAATTAAAAATACACACATATCAACCAATCAAAACAGTACATTTTCTATCTAGTTAAATAATCGTGGTAATTTATTTTTGGGAAATTTTTGTTATTAGATTGATTATATGCTTTCTGTTTACTTAAGGATGTATCGTGAAGGAAAATAATTCTGAAATATATTGATATAAAATGAATTTCGAGTTTCCCTGGCTTCATAATTATTTTTCATGCGATTAAATTGATTTTCCGGAGTAGGTCAGTGAAGAAAATTACTATAATCTGTAGTTTTTTTTCTCATAATTATAGACCGTTTGCCGGCAAAACAATATATAAATTGTATTGGCTGGCTACAAATTGCAGTGGGAGTTTTAATTAATTTTTTAATGATATTCAATTTAAGTCTGTTATAACAATAATAAAATAGTTATAAAATTAATCTTTTATAGTAGCTCAAAAACCAATCATAGAAAACAGCTATAATTTAAAAAAATATCTTCTACAGCATGGATGATAGGCCAGTGAAACAATTTGTATACTTTTACAGGATCAATCAAAAAGTGCAGGGTGCTTAAAAAAATGTTTGAAACATTTGATAAATTAACCATCAATATATTTATTAAATCACCCTGTAGTCAATGAATTGGATAATTATATATATGGTAAATACACAAAAGTCGCGTAACAATACTGCGTTTCACATTAATACTTATAAAAAAATATATTGGCCTATGTCAATATTTACGGCTCACCCTGTATAAATGGCACCAACTGTCTTTTATATTATCATTAGACATGATAAATATAGCTATAATTTATTTTTTAATAAATATTTTCACCTTCTAGAACAATAAAAGTAATTATCAAAAACATGTCCTTACTTATTTGTGGCTCACCCTGTAAAGGAAAATAATTTTTGATCCCTTTTTATATTCGTAGAATGCCAAAAAATGTTACAATAAGATTTGGCACAAAAAATTATAATTGATTAGCTTTCTCTTGAAATAACCGTTATAAGTGGTATTTCTTAGGTTTAACACCCTGTATCTCAAAAACTAGTCATTTGATTTGAATGGTCTCATGGGCACTATTGCTTAAGAGGTCGAGAACTGCAACATATCAAACATTTATGACATTTGTGCGAGGTCTTTTATCAAATGATTTAAACAAACTTTAGCCAAAATACAAAAGTAGTGCTAAATATTTTTAAAATTTTGGTGGATGCGAACCACGTTAATTCACCAAAATTTTAATAAAGTTAATATACAATCAAGTTTTGGGGTTTAAAATGTGTTGAACAATAAATAATATTACAATTAAAATACTACTGTATATAGGGTCTGTCATTTGTAGAGGAATACACCTACTTGGAAACTCATTTAAAACTTGACAAGTAACAGAAGAGAGTTTAATAAAAAAGGAGTCACATGTTTAGATGTAAACGTAAATGTTAAAGAATAATAAATACAGATTTTCATTTTTAATAAAATAATAACTGCGACCATAAAAAAAACATCGAGGTAATTTTTTCAGTTGACTCGTTAAAATTGATATGAGATATATTTACCTAAAATTATGTTTCAGTTTTAAATTGACTTTTCCCTCGACATAAAATCGACCTGAAACCTTATAAAGTGCTAATGGCCGCAAAGAACTCCTTCTAATCAGGACTCAGGGAATATAAAAATCCCTGTTAACGTTTCCCAGGAGTTATATCTGTTTTACCAGATGACGATGAAATAATATACACTTTTGGAACTTTTTTAATTTTTGGTTATAAAATAACTTTTTGGAACTTTTAATTAAAAGTTTAATTAGAAAGCATTGACTTTTAAGGTATCAATAATGAAAAATATAATTTGCAGATTGGCAAGAAATGATGGTGTCTTAACTTTTCTGTAGATTCAACATTTTATTCAAGCGGAGCGAAAATAAAAATTAGTTGATTTGAGCTTTTATAGAAAGTTTACTGAAAAACAAACTGTATATTATGCAGGCTATTATCTAAATTTTGAAATTAAATAAACTTACTTTTGCGACAGCATTTAGCGAATTTGGCGGTTTGGTGACAGTAGCTCCCTGCAGGACAGTCTTGTCTAAATGGACCGTTGCCGCAGTCTAATTCTCTTGCTGTTAAGGGATCTGTTAATGGTTTCTCGCCTTTGCAAGGTTTCACTTCCATTCCTATATTATTTAAAATGAATTTGTCAGCATATATAAACACATTAATATATTCTGACTGAAAATAACATACAACGTTTTTATAAAACACGCTTAGTGGTGGCATGCAAAAGCAAACATGCATAGTTTTAATATAGTTTAAAATAATTAAATTAAGACACAATGGCCGATGTGTTGAAATTGATATAAATCAGTAGTAGGTATACTATATAAATCTTAGTAACAATCAATTAAGGAAAACTTAAAGAGATGTTTCTAATAAATCATTAATAAAATAAATCGTGATTTAAAGTATTTGGAGGAAATATGATGGAAATAAACGTGCCCGCGGTTTTTCCATTTGGAATAAACCAATTAACTCATTTTTAAATGGATTATAAAAACAAACATAAATGCTATTCACTTTCTACAGTCAAGCTACAGTTGTGTAATTTTGTAACAAAGCAAAAAATGTACCAATTTGCATAACTTTTAATACAAAAACGTGTATAGGTATATAGGTGTTTCCTTCTAAAGTAATAATTCCTTTCTAGATAGTATTTAAAAAAATAGGGTTGGAGTTAGTAACCTAATAAAATATGTTTAAAAACGGTAATTTGGTTTTGTTTGCTTTTTAAAATTGTATTCGTTATGTCATAAGCGTGCGCAAAATTTTTATGCAGGGCTGGCAGATATTTTGTCTTATTTTCAGTTACTGTAAGTGCGATATATGCACACGCGGCACACATTTTTATAAAAGTTGCTTTGAAACACTATTTTATTAATGTAGCTATTTTATTTATAAGTAGCGAAAGTAATAAATAACTTTTATATCTTTAAAAATTGAAATTTTTATATTTTATTAAAAATCTAAGTGTTGAAAGTTGTGATTGAATGAATGTGCTTGCATTAAAATTACTGAAAAAGGTCTTAGTTGATATAATGCTTTGTATATATCACACAGGTACCTAAAGGACATTTTAATATATTTATTGATAGGCTAAATGAAATCTTACAATGTGTAATAAATTTAAAATAACAGTATGTGGTGATTCCAACATCCTATCAGTCTGGCACTTTTATAGATATAATTAAAATAGCAATACTTTTAAACAACTAATTTTTGAAGCTGCAAAAGTAACCAAAACAAGGAGGACTCAAATAGATAATATATTCGTTAATTTTGTACTGAATTTCGATTTTTACTTAATTTTAACTTCGTGGATATACCCTGTATATCAGCTTATCGCTGTTCAGACCAAATCGTCCAGATACTCTGTGTGCGCGAATTGCTATGGTGGGATTTTCTGTTATTGGAAGGGCTATCGACGCGAGTACGAGGTCCGAGATTCAATTAAAAATTTTAGTTCCTAATACACCGATTTATCGAACAGCCGAAAATAGACAAATTATTTAGACATCGAAATCCACGATTCCGATATTTTAAACCGATATATATTTCTAGCCGCGATCTTGACGATAGGTAAATTGTTGTCATTGTTTTTATAAATTAATATTTTTTCCGCTCGAGACTTTAAGCCGTGCTATTGGAAACCGTTTTATTTTGATTTATTTTAATTAATATTCCGTGTTGAGTTAAGAATTGATTAAGAAATACTTTAATTTATTTTTGTTAGAAATCACTGTTTTTTTTTTGGAATTTTATTTTAGTTTATTTAAGGCTTTAACTGTTAAATAATTTATTTTTCATTCGATCGTAAATATAGTCGTATAGTTAATTTTCTCTACTACCGTAAATTTGTACTGAATAAAACCGTTCGGTGCTACTTGGGAGTACTAAATGTGATCCCGCTTAGGCTCTATGAAAGATTATATTGCAACTAATCGACACATAAGTCTTTTTTATTATTATTTTGGGTGGCGAAATCCTCCTACTTCGTCATAGAAAACGCTCATGTTGTCGAGAATAAAGAATTTAATATTACTACAGTGAAATATTTTCTAATTAAAAACACGTTCATTATAACAGCATTACAGTAGCTTACACTATAATGGGACTTTCTAACTACCCATTTTTTCGCTGTAAAATATTTTAGAAAAAAAAATGAATACATAGCATGAACTTCCATTCTTGCGACCTAATTATGTAAGGTAATTTAAATAAATATTTCTGTAATTGTTTTCATAAACATACGGTGGACTTTGTTAGTTTTTACGAGCGTTGGCTCTAATGTGTAGTTATAGAGCTAACTAAAAATGTCAAACGATATTTCTGCTATCATTGTAACTATCCAATAAAAAAAAATTTTCCTTATAAATATTTTATATTTTTGCTCTGGAATTAAATAAATGCGAATCTTTTCTCTCTTCAAGAGATTCTGATCCTCCCAATCTACAATGAATAATTAGTTTTCAGTAAAAGCAATCCACTTTTAATTCAGTAAGTCAAAAAAAAATACGAAAGAAGCACTGAGATATAAAAAGGATTTCTTGCGTTACTTAAAAAAGGTTTTAATAATTTAGTAGAACTGAAGAACCCTAATTAAATTTCTGAAATTAAATTTATTTTGCTCTAATTGCATTCAAAACCTAAATATGTATTATACTAGGACTTAATATACACTACTGAAAAATGTATATACGACTGCTACTTTAAAAGAACTGACAATTTATTAAGGTAGCGAAAAAGAAAAATTTCAGAACATTTCAAAAATGTTTTTATTTTAAGCGCAACAAGAAAGTACACACTCTTTTCCATCTACTTAATAAGTAGGTATGTAATTTTTTTATTGGTAGAAAAGTTAGTAACTATTTACTCTTTGACACCCTGAAATAATAATAATACTACATTCCCTAATTCATCTCCTTTACAAGTGAATTTTATCCCCAAAAGCTGAGCATGTCCGGGCAAGGGATGATTATTATTATTCCTCTCACACAGTAGTCTATGAAGAGTATTATAGGTTTACTTTTAAGAAACTAAAATGTTTAATATTTATTCAAATTTAAAAATTTTTATACCAAAATCTTTCTCATCAAATTTTAACCAAATTTTAAAAATGTCCGTCCATCCGATGTCACGTTTTTTGTCCACCCGATAAGTCGAAAACGAAAAATGATATTGTAATGTGAGCCATTTCTTCCCTCTCTGTCTTATTTGGCCTTTGATGTTCAACTTGTCCGATTATCATGCATAATTAAACCCCTTAAGACCAAACATATGTCACGACTATGGCGAAGGAGCTTTAGATTACTATTCGAGAAAGAACGAGATAATGTTTCTAGTTTTGGCGAAGAACATTCTAGTACCTTCGCCAAAGTTTAAATGTGTATATAAATATTGGTGGAGGAACACGGAGCAGTCAGTGGTATATAGACAGTTGAGAATAAAGTATTGGACTGTGAATATAAATAGTGAACGATTTAAAGACATTCGAAGTATATATAAATTAGAATAGTAGTGTTTAAATAAATTATTAATAAATAAACTGTTGTTTTAAAATAAACAAACAAACTTAAAATATTCAGGAAAATCAATCTCTATAATGGTACGAAGCTTATGATTTAAAAAAAAAATTGTTTAAAAATGGTGGATTAAGGGTTCAGATTAAAAAAAATATAAATCAAGCTCTGCAATCTGATTCAAAATAGAGGGTTTAAGGGGGGTTAAAACTTTAAAAGAATCATAAAACAAAAACTAAAAACAATATCAACTTGAAATTTTTAGGAAAATCAAGCTTTACAATGGAACGAATCTTATTGATTTTTAAAATAATAAATATGATGAAAAATAGGGGGGTTGAGGAGGATTGAAATTTAAACAAAAATCATAAATCGACAACGAAAAGCGATATCAATATATTTTTATTAAAAATCAAGCTCTATAAGGGGACAAAGCTTATTGATTTTGAAAAATCTTATTAAAAATTAAGGGGGTTAAGGGGGGTTGAAATATTTAAAAAATCCCAACTCAAAAACGAACAATAATATCAACTTGAAATTGTTGGTAAAAATCAAACTCAATAAAGGAATGAATAAATAAATAGATAAAAATGGGGAGATAAGGGGGGTGAAAAAAACTGAAACAAAAAACGATATTAAATCGAAATCTTTAGGAAAACACAAGCGTTATAAGGGGATGAAGCCTATTAATTCTGAAGAATTCAGATTGAAAATGGAGGTTAAGAGAATCTGTTAAACTGTAAAGAGTTGTATATAGAATGTCAAACATTATATATTTTTATTCTAGTTATTATTTGCCGTGGCGCCTTAAAGATGTTTGATGGTGCCATTTGACTTATTGATAAGGAAAACACCACCCAACATCATCGAAACGGTAACGGATAGCGATTTATAACCTGGTTGTCATATTAACAAAAATTAAATTTTTGCTAATACGGCATCCATTAAATCCTGTAACGAAGAAAGAAAATTATTTAAAATTACACATGATCTGTCGTAGTATTCGAAGCCGTGTTGTCTGTCAACCACAAAATTGCTTGTAAATGAATGCCAGCGCGTAAAACAACTACGTCACCGATACGATCAAAAATAGATAAGTTTTAGAGGAAAGTATATTTAAATTTCTTTTGAGGTGTATCTAGTTTTATTAAAATGTCCTTCTTTTATTTATTTTTCCCTAGAAACAATTTTTATTTTTGTTTTCTTGAGAACTAGGCGAGTTTCGTTAAAACTAAAAAGTTGTTTTTAGTTGCTTTATGTTTTTTTTTTTAAATCACAAGTTTCGCAGAAGCAAAAAAGCTCCCAAAAACGAAAAATAATAAATACATCATTAACATCCTCAACCTTGGACCTACACTCGTCTTGTCGAAGCAATAATGCCGGTTCTACCGAAATAACAAAAGTTTTCATACATCACCACATAAATAATTAGTTTTTCTGTGTTATTTTATAAAGTTCGTGTTTAAAATCTTCTTTTATTCTTAGAAAATATATTATATATTTATTGATATCAAATGAATAGCTATTTATTAAACTTTACAACGTTTCCTGAAAGATAAAATTTAGCTAACAAATTAACATAAATAATAAAAATTACTAAAAATCTGACAAGATGCATGTTTGGAAAATCATAAAATATTTTTGTTTTGAACTTTGAAATTTTGTTCATTTGAACCGCTATAGAGTGTTTTCAATTATTAATATTGTATAAATTATCTATAAGAATCATCAGCAAAAGCACTCTTTATTCCGAAAATATAATATTATAACCCCCGGTATGATTGTCAAGAGTTATTTATCAATGTAGTGATAATTTATTTCAAATACAATTACAATACCAATTATCGAGTTCAAAGCATTTCTACTGTGTCGTTATTTATGCCAAAAGATACGTATACGCTAATTTGCTTTACTTTTCTGTTGGTAATTTTCATTTGGGTCCGCTAATTGATAAATAATTGAATAATTAAATTAATACAAATTGCGGTAGGTATTTGAAAGGTTAAATTATTTTGTGGCCGGTCCCTTGGGATTACGGTTAGGTCGTAAATGGAAATAATTGATATCAACAATGATTAAGAATACGTTTGTTGGATTACACGTTCAGAAAATGTATTTGAAAATGCTTACTGATGACGATTATGGTGATGGAAACCAGCATGAAATATTTCTAGGATATAAGCCAGGCTCTCTCCATGGTAAACCACTACACCGTTAGACCGTAGGCCAAGTAAATTATAATATTGTCACGATTTATTAAATTCCGATTTTCAAATAAATTAATATTAAAATAACACCTTGTATAAATATTGTTTAATTTATTTGCGATCATTAATTACTTAATAAATATTAAACAGAAGCAGGATTCTTTGCGTGGCGAATCTTTGTCGCGTAGACTTACTTTGTGTATTGTTTATTGTATTGTGCCCACATTGGTGTATGTTGGGTTGTACCTTATAGGCTTGTTATAAAATATATTTGTTTTTCCCTTAGTCTTCAAAGGTTTTAATCCCAGATTAAATCCCTGTACAGTTAAGGACTACGAAACCAAGTTTAAAACAATAGCTTACACGATTGAGGCCCGGAATTATATATTCGTTATATTTATTAGTCACTCCTATGTTGTGACAATATTAGCAAATTAAAAATATACACACAGGATTACTATCTACAATATTAGCGGATGCACATTGATTGAACTTTGCAGAAACATGAAGTGTATTATTATCTAGTACCTAGTTTAATTCAGTATAAAGTGTGTGTTGGTAGTGTAAGGTGCCAAGGGGTACTGTCTACTGACGTCCAAACATTCCAAATCAAACCTTGGCAAAGATCCAACGGTCTTAGTCTTAATTCTTCCTGCCTCTGACAAGCTTCCATCTTCATAGCGCACAGAGATGAGTAAATCCTCAAATCAGAAGCGCAAACCGAGCTCTCATACGCAGTAGAGCAGTCAAATTGACAGGTGCAGCGCGGGAAGTTGTCGGGACCTAGTTCGCAGGTGGCCTCGAAGTCACACAAAATATCTTTGCAAGCTTCTTTTTCCGTATTAACACCCTCCGGGATTGAGTTATCTGGTACTGTAGTATCAATGTCGTTACCTGTTATGGGGTTAGTCTGCACCGAGGTGTTAGGGAAGGTTGCTAGAAAGGTTAATAGCCATAAGGGATTGAAGTGTTAACATTATAGCGCTACAAATACAAATGCATAGAATTTTATTGTTAAATCTCAACTCTACAAATTTTGATTGGTTGCACAGAAATTATATTTTTTAAAATCGATGAAGTACATACCGCACAAATATTACCGCATCAGTTTAAAAATATTGAATTTAAATCATTAAATTCGAAAATTGTTAATTTATATGCTAGCAATATTAAATATTAGTTAGTTTTGGTACAGGTTTTATGAATTTTAATGCTCCGTGAAAAATATACACGGTAAATTATGATTACAGCAAAATGCAGTTTTCTCTACAAATTTATTTAATTTTAATGAAAACGAAAATATATAGAACAATTAATGTTTCTAGTATCTGGTGTTACCTCCTCGAGCTCTAATTCTGTCCCATCCGTCTTAGCATGTTTTCAAAAAAGGTTTTACATGTATTGTTAATCCATATTTTTCCAAATACTACTCAATTCATTTTGTAAGTGATTTAACATTCCTAATGGAATATCACAGCGCTGTAGCATCGATTCTAAATTAGCTCACACGTGCTGTGTAGGCGTTCGAGCAGACCAATTTAGTGTGGGATTGTGCATCACCTATGAATGGTCCATATTGAAAAACGGAGCTCCATATGGTTTGCTATTATTCCTTACTCCTATACCGCTATCAATATCGTACGACCATGAAAAGGTATTACGCCTCATATCATAATTGATGCGTTACCAAAACTTTCAGTCAAATACTACACTGCCAGTATCGTTTACATAGGAATCTGTAGGCTGGTCTACATCTGTCAGAGGTATAAACACAAAATCTGGATTCGTTTAAGAAAAGAACATTATACCAGTCTTCCAAAACTCAGTTAGCGTGTTTTCTAGCAAATTAAGAATCTCGATGTTTGTAATAGAATGATTGGAATATTACGTAAAAAGGGGCTGATTGTAACAGTCGAAAAAAATAAGATAAACGTGTCTCAAACGCGCTTACCTTCTGTGTTGCATCATATTGTTCGTCGGATGAAGTAGGTGGTAGTATTAGTCCAGTAGCCAAGACCGGGCCCGGTTACACAGTTTATTATACAGGATTTTATAATAGCGGATTTAATGGCACATACACACCACAAAGCGTTATCGTCGCGGCAATTGCTGTAGTTCTTCTTCTTTTCTAACTGCGCTTCACTTGTCTTACAGTCAGACGAAGCGCATGTGTGGGCCAAAGTTTTAAGTAAGCGATTTGAGACAAAGCGCGAATATTTAAATAATAAAATAGGAATTAATTCATTCTGGAACAATGTTCCCTAGTCGGAGGAAGGCCCATAGCTGACACCCTTGCTCTAATATCTTCTCTCAGATGATTTCTGTTTGTCTACAAACATGGGTATTTTTGACAGCCTGGAGTTTTCTAGCAATGGTGGGTGTATATTGCCCTGTCTTTCTATAGCTCGTTACGACACTGTAAGTGCCTATAAGGGTCCTTTCACATTACGATTTTTGTGAGATTTGAACTGCATTCAGTCCACAACGAAAATCTGCCTCTCATCTGCCTCCCATCTGGCCTCTTCGGCAAGATTTGTGATCTTTCAACATGTGAATGGTTTGTACAACGGCACGAATGTGATTTTTCGAGGGAAGTTTTACACATTCTTTAAGTTAGACAGGACCGTATTGGATACATTCTGAGAAAGTTGTTTATTTTAATGACTTCTATACACAGTTAAAAAAGTATCAACTTAGGATTCACCCTGTGAATAAGGTACCTACCCTTTGATAGTAAAAATACTTTCGAAAATAATGTAAAATATGACGATAATTTTTGTGCTGTGTGTATTACACATGAGAATAGTTAATTTGATATATTAACAAAAAGATTAAAAGGCAACTGAGTTAAACAAAACCGCCTTCTTGTCATATTGTCTGAGCTAGTAATAAATGAACGCAAGATTTAATTTGCAATGAATCACATAATTTACTCGAAAATACTATAAATGCCAATTACGTGTACTATGTACTATTTCCTCTAAATTTTTTACTATATTTTAAATAAGTTTATCACTATTAAAATCCGCTGTTGTTAAATTTTTGTTTGAAAGAAAATATCGCGAAATTCAAATCTTGCGTTAATTTTTAAACACCTGAGAAAACTAAAAAATGAAGGTTTTTAACATCCCTTATAAGTAGAAATTTCAAAATCTAAATCTCTTTTTTCCCAAGTACCCTTGTCTTTTCTAGTTACTTTTTATACTACCATTGCCAATTGTCAAACTACAGAATATTATTGATTATACCAAACCATCAGTTTTTTGAGGACGAATTAACAAAATGATGTTTCCCAAAGAGAATGTATTATTAAAAGAAATAACCCTGGTGCACAGCTTTCGGTTATTAATGTCAACACGTGATTGTAGCACCGTTTATGTACCTGTCTGTTTCAATGACGCCCATCAAAATCTATTGGGATATCGCTAGGTTTAATATGATGTAGAATGAAATTAGTATTGACGTCGCAACATTGAAACTTTGAAGGAGGAAATTATGTGTCTGTTAGTTTAGGGGATTTTTTTATTATTGTGGTGTTTTCAAAAATTATTTAAATTTTCAGCATTTCTGCTTTAGTTATTAAAACACATAACCCTTCTCGATTTTTAATCAATTTACAAAAAACAGTCCATTTCCACTAAAATGTTCAAATGGCAATAGGGTTAGGTGATACATTATATTTAAAGCACCTACAGCAGGGGTAGTATTCTCGAATCACGAATACCGACATTCGCATACGTGTTTTACAATGTGTCTCACTTTGTTGAACGAAAACCAAGTGAGACAAATCATAAATCTCGCATGCGAATCTATATTCGTGACTCGAGAATACTACCCCAGTTCTTAAAAACAATTTTTTACAGAAAAATAAAACAAATTCTCTTACTGCTTAAAGAACCTGCAGCTGACGGAAACTTTTCTCTACAATCCCCATAAAAGACGACTGTAAGGGGCGCAGCATTGGCCGCTCGGGCACACCGTGCTTTCTGCAATTCGCATTCGTTGCGATAAGTCGTCATGTCTGATGCGCACACTGGCTCTTCACCAGCTTGTTCGCAATTCGTTGGGCACACGCATTCACCTGCTTCACATTTTCCGCCGTATTTGCATTCTATACCTTGACACAAATCTGAAAAAAATAATTCACTTAAATAATGAGGTTCATAGGTCAGTAGTCGTAGCACACTTTTATGATCACAATATATTAATCGGACTTCAGTTGGCAAAATATTGAATCGAAAAGAACTTCTGAGAAGAACCAAAACCTAAGACAACCGTAATAGTTATTTATTTATGCCAATTATACAGTTTGGTTACATTCGTTATTTCGAAACTCGTTGACATCTTAATTTGGTGAGCGTTGAGACCTTTTTCTCTCTATAAATTTGAAAAGTTACATATTGTCGTAATTTTGGGATTTCGCGACCGCGAATTTCCAAACGTTGGTCTATAGAGGTTATAGCGGCTCTATAAAGCCCACGAGACTGAAGATTTAATCGATGTTACTGAACCTGTTTGCGGAACCGCAATTTTTTGTCCCGTTTGTGTATAAATTGCCATTCCTAACGCATATTACTAGCCCCGCGACGTTGCCAGATTTATCAGCAAGCGAATTATTTTTAAATGCACTTCCTTGCAGTATTAAATGTCTTATGAGTTTATCTATCTAACGAAACCAATATTTTAGCCTATTATACATAATACTGACTGCCTTAACAGAGCGTAATTGATCGATAGCTGTTTCATTATAGCAGATACGAAAACACTTTTAATACGACCGTATTTTACAATTATTCTTAAATATACAGGGTAGTCCATAAATGGGGAGCGAATCAAACTTATACTTATTTAAACCAAACACCCTGTAGGTAGTTATGGATAACAGATTTGGTTGTTTTCACATCGTTAAACAATTTTAATAGACTAAAAATGTTTTGCATTTTCTTTCATTTGCTATGATGTATACAGGGTGTGTGTTACGATATTCTCAACTTTTTCAAGTGCAATACTCTTTACTATCACTAATTTATAAATTAATTTATTTTTTATTTTGTTTGGCATAATTTTTTTTCACATTTTTCTAATTGGATTTTAAAAAGATGTACTTATTTAGGATAAAATTCTAAGTAGTTAAAGACCTATGAGTTGTTATAAATTGGTCATTAGACTAGTTGGTTGTTACACCGACTTAATTGGACACACTGTATTTTTTACGAAAAACTCGTTAATTTTGTATTTTAGATAACCTTTAAAATTTTCTTTTTTGCAGTATTTGTCTAAAAAATTTAACGTTCCGTGTAATATTTTATGTCTTATTAATAGTTCCGTTTTTAATTAATTTATATCTTGTCTTCCCAAAAACCACCCTTTTTCATGAATAAAAAAAAGTAATAATGAAAATATAAATAAAATAAAAAAAAATGCATCTTAATAGATAATACCTTGAACACTTATTAATTTAGGAGCGAACAAAACTCACACAGAAATTAGTCATGCGACCACTTCATTAATTTTGTGAAAACCAACAGCTCCCAAAATTAATATAAAATGATTAGAAACCACGTGAAAGTACAAAAGGGCTTGAAAAGAACTAACATACGTACAAATTATATATATTAAACTTTTAGTGTTGCCAATACTAGGGTTTGGTAAGATCGGTCTAACATCAAAAATGGACCCGTGTAAATAAATTATATACACATATCGAAGACTGCGCCGCCTGGTGTTAGATGCGTTGAACTAAAATCGTATAAAAACGGTTGAAATTTCGTATATATATATGATATATTAGTCAGCATGGAGAGGCCCTTCTCTCTTAAAAACTTTGAAGTCATATCGATTTTCGAAATTTTAAAATTCAATTTTGTAAATATAAATGTGGTTCATGTGAAGTAGTAATTAGCCTTTCCGTTACCGACTTGAATTCTGAAACCATAGATGGCGTGTTAACATTGTTAAACAAACCTCATTAGTGTCCACTTGTTTCTCATCATTAAAATTTATAGAAAGTTTGAAATAACGCCGTATTCCGCATTAAATAATCTTAACTATGTTCATAACATGCGAGTTTAAGTTAACGCTCAATGTCCTTAAATAACACGGTAGAAGAAATTTAATATCTTAAACTCCTTTCCTTTTAAAATACATAGTTTCTTTATTATTTTTACTGTATTATATACTATCGACTAAAATTATTTGTGTAAAATAGCGCACTCTAGCTAAAGAGATCCTTAGCCATAAAACCTTCAATAAAGAAAATATTTTGAAGTTTTCTTTGCTGAAAGTAAAACTAACTTACCACAATTCCCTTTATAGGCTAAGATAACGTATTGTTTTGCTTTGCAAGACGCCATTCTCAGTTCGCATTCGCTTGTGTAAGTAACTCCATCAGTACCGCAAACTGTTCCGTTGTTTAGCTGCAACAAAAAAAAGAATTAGATAAATAAAATAAAAAGAAACTAATGTAGGTATATCACGTTTTATTTGTTCCATTGACATAATTCTGGATTAGCCCAGTAAATTGTTGAAATTCCGGGAGATTATAATACGGTCAGACAAGAATATTAAGTGAATCAGGTCTTTCTGAATTAAAGATGCCGAAGCAGGCATTTATAGTCGAAAAGATCAACTAAGCCAATTTATTTGGACCAGAACGTTCACTTTTCATTTATTATAGGAGTGGATGCGGCAGGCTGACAGACATAAACAGATAAAGTGACAGACAGATAGATATGCATATAAACAGATGGGCGTATGAGTCTGTCTCATGGTACAGGATTCTAAAAATACTTCGCTAGAAAGATAAAGAGTGATTCACATAAAATGTTTCTACAGTAAGTCATGGCCGACAAAGACATATACGAGTCATCACAACGGGGTGAAATAGGGAGAGTATTACTATATTATTACTATTATGTCTTGAATGAGTAAAACCAAATTTGGTAGATTTTCACAAAACTTTTATTTTCAAAAATAAAAATTAAAAACACTACACATGACATGTTTCGTAGTACAACTTCTTTTTCAAATGTGACTAATTTACAATTCGGTATCCAATATATATGCGAAATAATTTAACAAAACAAAGTACTTAAGAAAACATCAATAACATAACAAAATAAACTAACTATTTAAAGTAAATAAGGGTACTTAGGTAATTATGATATCAATCAAATAACAATAAGACAGTAACATTACCGGGATTATCTCACAGAAAACTAGGAAAGAGATTTAATAAGGGTGAGTTATTAATATCTAATTGATCATTGAGTAGGTTATCTGAATTTTTAAATCTATTTATTTCAAGTGTTTCTAAATGGTTTAGTTTATTACCCTTATTTTCTATATGTAAAATTTCAAAGTTGTCTGTAAAAGAATGATTTTCAGCTAAAATATGATTTGAGTAAGTAGAATTATTTTTGTTTTTTGTATAGCTATTATAATGTTCGGAATAGCGCTTTTTGAAAGTACGGCCTGTTTGACCAATATACAGTTTTGGACAACTACCACAATTTAATTTATATACCCCCGATTTATTATTAGAATTAATTTTACCCTTATTGTTTTTAATATACTTCCCAAGCGTGTTATTGGTTTTAAAAGCTACGTTAATATTTTGGTTTTTTAAATATGATGATACCTTTTCACTAGGAGCTCCTATATATGTAAGACCTTATATCTGCAATTTTTATCTTTAATAATTATGGGATAAACTAGTTGAATAGCATGTTTAAAAAGTTTTTTCTCTAAAATGTTGTCTACTAACTTTGAATTAAAATTATTGTTTACTGCGATTTGTTTAATGATATTTAATTCTTTTGTGAAGTTCTCTTTGGTAAGGGGGATATTAACTAATCTATGGATCATACTGTTGTATGCCGCCAGCTTTTGTTTGTATGGATGAGATGAACTATTATTTGTTGTAATATCAGTATGTGATGGCTTATGAAATATCCCAAAACTATGTCCTTTATTAATTTTAATAATATTTAAGTCTTATTGTTATTTGATTGATATCATAATTACCTAAGTACCCTTATTTACTTTAAATAGTTAGTTTATTTTGTTATGTTATTGATGTTTTCTTAAGTACTTTGTTTTGTTAAATTATTTCGCATATATATTGGATACCGAATTGTAAATTAGTCACATTTGAAAAAGAAGTTGTACTTCGAAACATGTCATGTGTAGTGTTTTTAATTTTTATTTTTTAAAATAAAAGTTTTGTGAAAATCTACCAAATTTGGTTTTACTCATTCAAGATAAAATGGATTTTCATCAAGTAAAGGCCGAAACAATAAATAATTACTATTATGTCCGTGATAACTACTTATGGCTCTGAATTAAAAGCAAAACTATATTTAAAAAACAATTGAATGCTCCAATATGCGTGAATTTCTCCAAAATTTACTTTAGAACCATGTTTTGTGAATCACTTCATATTTAAATAATTTTTGGACTTCATCCTGTTTTAAAATGTGTACTTTGGTATTAACTACATATTGCGATGGATGTATACTGCAATAGTGAGACCATTTATCAATTACGGGGCTATAGCCTGGAGTAACAGAACTAGTTTAGCTACTATGAGAGCTAATATCTCAAAAGTACAAAGACTAGCCTGTGTTTGCATTATTAATGCAATGAGAATCTGCCTTATGGCCGCAATGGAAGTGATCTTAAACCTCACCCCTCTACATTTGATGATAGAGAATGTGGCAAAAAGGACACGGTATAGAATGATCAGGAACGGAGTAACCAGAAGAAAGTCTACTTGCTTCAGGACTAAAGATACCTGGGACATGTCCCAGGATGAAATGCTAAAGAAGTAAAGTTTTGCGAAAAACTTCAAAACCACAGAGCTGGGCTGCAAGAAAAAATGGAGCCAAGAATCCATCGCGCTTGCAACCAAAAGACATGCTATTCATTGGTATACGGACGGTTTCAAAACCATAGAAGGAACTGGAATAGGAGTGTATGGGCCGAGAACCAAGAACTCCGAAAGCTTGGGAAAATACCCAAGCATTTTCCAGGTAGAAATTCACGCCATTGAGAAGTGTATCCAGTTTAACATCTAGAGAAACTATCATAGACAAGAGATTATCATCATGTCCGATAATCGAGCAGCCATCAAAGCGCTGAGTTCTTACGTAATCAGCTCAAAAATGGTCTGGAGATGCCTAGAACAATTGAATGAGCTAGGCGAGAAAAATAATTACTCTCACTTGGGTTTCAAGACATAACGGGGTACAGGGTAACGAGATTGCAGATAGTCTTGCAAGGAAAATGGCTTAAACACCCTTTGTAGGACATGAGCCGTTCTGCTGTATTAGCAGTTACATAATATTAGGAGAGATTAAAAAAGAATTGAGCAGTAGAAGAACCAATAATTGGAACAATCTCTTGGAGATGAGACAGGCTAAGATACTTCTGAGTGAATATAACCAGAAAAGATCGGAAGCCTGCATCTGCCTGAGCAAGAACAGGCCACGTATTGTAACAGGGATCCTTACCGGGCATTGCCGACTAAAAGGACACCTTAGTAAACCGAGAGTAGTAGAAGATAGTGAGTGCACATTCTGTGAGGAGGAAGACGAAACCTCCATTCACATTCTAACTGAATGTGTAGCACTATAGAATCCAAGGGCAATATATCTAGTAGGATTTCAAATAGAAGAGGGAGATTTACCTAACTTGAAGCCACTCCATATCCTACACTTCCTTGAGAAAATAGGATTGGAAGGATCGTTATAGGCATTGAGACATTTCCTTGGTGCATTAGCGACAGAAGGGGGCACAATAGATCTTTTAGGTCGCAGTGTATTAACACCCCATTCCCAACATAACATAACATAGTCGAAAAGATCAACTAAGCCAATTTATTTGGACCAGAACGTTCACTTTTCATTTATTATAAGAGTGTAGGTAATCATAAAGTCTTAGCATAACATCGAAAAATTTATTATATTGCTCAAAAATTTCCGGAGCTTTAAAAAAAGTTTTTTAAATAAATTTAAATTTGGAAGTTCAAGAGAAAATTGGATGCGGTAGACTGACAGACATAGACAGATAGAGCGACAGGCTAATAGATATGCATATAGACAGACGGGCCTATGAGTCTGTCTTATGGTACCTGATTCTAAAAATAGTTCGCTAGAAAGTTAGAGTGATCCACATAAAATGTTTCTACAGTAAGCCTTGGTCGCCAAAGACAAATATACGAGTCATCACAAGGGGATGAAATAGAGAGAGTATTACTATATTATTACTGTTATGTCCGTGATAACTACTTATGGCTCTGAATTAAAACCAAACTGACATTTAAAAACAATGGAACGCTCCGATATAATAATAATAATGGATCGCTTCATATTTAAATAATTTTTGGACTTCATCTGATTTTACAATGTGTACTTTTGTATTTACTAGTTTTTTTTTGTAATGGATATAGTAATAAACGGAATAATAAAAGTACTAATTCTTTTTACAGAATTTACGACTGAATATCATAGTTGCATTGTCATAAAGTCATATCAAAGGTAATTTTATATCTTCTTTTATATCTTTGAAATATAAATAAAATGGAAATATCCATTTCTGATCGTATTTAATAATTTATTACTTTTTAGCAAATACAACTTTTAGTTTAATAATACGTAATGCATTTTTAAAATAGGATGTTACAGGCAAACTTGTTGATTAAAAAGGTTTCTGTGTTAAATAAAAACTTAGGCAGGTAGATCACTATTTAATTATCCTTTATCAAGAGTTATTATATATTAAAGAAAATGTAGTCGTGCTCTAGTATTATTAAATACATTAAGGATTATTTTAAAAGCTACATCAAAACTTCATTATTTATTCACGAGTTTCGACTAATGAATTTACAAATAGATGTTTTACTAATACTAATAAGAGGGAATAAAAAACATGGGCCTTTTCGACATATTTAAAATGTACATTTTTGCTTTCTCATAAAAATACTATCTCCCTTCTGATTTTTTTTCTGGGAGCGGCTTTATCTCCGATGGTACTGCCTTTATTTTATTTCCTCTACTGATGACTCATATTTTTCTTGCCTTCACTTTATAGATTCTATCCCATACCAGCTTTAGCGTCATCTTCTGACTCGATGTGGCATTAAGAACCGTCTGGATGTCATAAATTCCAATATTAGTGTTAATTATTTTTAAAATAGTTATTTTATTTTATTTATATTTAAATTTTTAAAATGTTTTAATTAAAATGGAATATTTTGCTACTAATATATACAAAAACGTTTACCAATTTAAAAATTGTAATCTTGATTAAAACAAAAATAAATTATAATTGTAATAATTCAAATAGTATATTCAGATAGTAATCGGGAAAAAGAATTAAATGAAGAAAAGTGAAAAAAGTGAATACTCTTTTTAAA